TTTTCATCATGCCATTATGTTGTGTAAGTAAGTATATATGTGTATCTATAAAGTCAATATGTTAAATTAAATAGCTAAAATGGCAAGTAATTAATGCTAGTTTTGGTGTTCATATTAATGGCTGATGCGATATCAGACATAATTGACACGTATTGTTGTACATACATTGCTTAAACAATAATGTTAAGACGAGCCAAAATTTTGAGATTATCAGGTCATGGGGCATCATGGTTACTGATTGTTACCGGTGTTTTAGCACGCAGCATTTGCGCAATGCGTGCGTAAGGTTAGGAACTTAAGAAATGATATATCACGTAATTGATAGTCAACGTCACACCTACATGTTGAATTCATTAAAACATGGTTAATTCATAGACATGTGCTGCAGCCAGCTGTTATGTTGAATTACATAGCAAAATCACTGATTTTAAAATGTCATAGCGCGTGCAAAGAAAAGGCACACGTGTAAGTATATTAATTGATCATTTTACCAGATTGACATCAATAACAGAATTAAATAACCTAGTTATATATCCCAGTACCAATTGAATCACCTGGACAGATTACAAGAGTAATATCTGCTGATCACAAGCAGCTGACGAGCGTGGTAGACGTATTAATTTCCATAATAAGGTCAATAAAAAAATCGCAAAGAATACAACACGATACCATACCTGTGACCGTCGTCCTCTATTGTCTCCAGAGTAACCTCCTCAGAAATTTCCTCAACGACGGTCGTTGGTTTTGGAGTAATAATGAGTTCCTCAGACACTCCTCAATTTCCTCCGGATTTCATCTTGTTGTTTAACAATGACTTCAACTGCTTCAGTGGCATCTGCGAGATCTTGGAGAACTTCCTCTGGCTTGGTTGGGAGAACGATTGTGCTGGCCATTTCTTCTGATACTTCAGTAACCTCTTCTGTTGGTTTTGAGCGAATATCTAGCATGACTTCTTCTTCAGCTGTATCAGGTGATACTGCAGGAACGTCTGCAACCTCCATTACAACATCCTCCTCGGCAATTTCAACAACTTTAATATCAGTTGGAAGATCAACAGTCAATTCTTCAGTGCGTTCTTGGCTTTGTACATCCATGTAACATCTTCCACCGTTGTCTCTACTGGATTTCTAAGCCGACCTCACCAGGGACATGTGGTTGAATTACCATCTCTGCTTCCTTGGTTTCCTCTGTTAGTACATCAACGGAAACTTCTGTAGGAACGCCTGGTTGAACTTGCATCTCCACTTCCTTAGTTTCTTCTGTAGTCACATCAACAGAAACCTCTACAGGGACGCCTGGTTGAACTTGCATCTCGACTTCCTTAGTTTCTTCTGTAGCCATGTCAATGGAACCTCTACAGGAACGCCTGGTTGAACTTGCATCTCAACTTCCTTAGTTTCTTCTGTAGCCATGTCAATGGAAACCTCTACAGGAACGCCTGGTGAACTTGCATCTCCACTTCCTTGGTTTCTTCTGTGGGAATATCAAGCGCAGCCACGGAAGGTGATACTGGTTGAATTTCCAACTCCACTTGCTTGATTTCCTGCTCCTGTTCGAGGTCAAGGGCTCACTTCTATGGGCGCAATAGCTTCTATTTGCACGTCGACCTCCTTTTACCTCCCCATCATGTGGTACTTCTAATCCAACCTCAGCCGGTGTAACAGCTTCAACCGTGATCTCCTCGGCGACTGTATTGAAACAACATCCATTCAGCTTGATGCGACAATTAGCATTTATAAATTAGTATCGTTAGTTGCGGTACTTTCCCGTGTCGCAATACGTCTCCAACCCATGCCTCAGCAAACATGTGTTAAGTTGTAAGTCATTAAACTTGGTCATTCTCTTTAAAAAATATAATGTGATGTGCATCATGCATAGTTGTAAAAGTATGTATATAACCAATTATAAAATCAAGATGTTAAGTTGAATAGTTAAAAGCACATGGAATTAATTGACTATTTTAGTCGTTGTTATAAGACTGGCAGGTTATTAGCTATAGTTGGCAGGTATTGCTGTTCAGTTATTGCAGGAAGAATAATGTTAATGCAAATGGTTGCGAATGTCAAGTCATAGTTCAGTCGTCGTTATTTAACATTACCCGTGTTTTAACACATTGCATTTGTGCAAAGCAAATACCTTATATAGTTAGCACCTGATCTGCCATGAATTAGACAATCAACATAACATAAACATATACACTTAAATTAATTAAACATGGGGAATCCATAGGCGTTTGATGCAGCTAGCTGTTATGTTGAATATTGTATAGCAAAATTGCAGGTTTTAAATTGCCACTGATCATGCAAGAAGGAGCACAGTGGTGAGTATATTATCTACCATTTTTCCAATTGAGTTTAAAAACATAATTAATTAACTCCTTCACAATATAAAACTACCAATGAACCAGTTGGACATATCACAATAGTAATAGCCAATACTCACATGAATCTTTACCAATTCAAAAGCGTTATTGTGTGCCTATCACAAGTAGAAAAGAAATATCGCAGATGGTACAACAAAATGACATACCTGTCACCTCTTCCTGTGTCATTGGCTTAAGGGTAACCTCCTCAGCAATTTCCTCAACGACGGTTATTGGTTTTGGAGTAATAACGAGTTCCTCAGACACCTCCTCAATTTCTTCCAGAATTTCATCTTTTGTTTTAACAATGACTTCAACTGCTTCAGTGGCATCTGCGAGTTCTGGAAACTTCCTCTGGCTTGGTGGGAGAACGATTGTGCTGGCCATTTTTCTGATACTTCCGTAACCTCTTCTGTTGGTTTTGAGCGAATATCTAGCATGACTTCTTCTTCAGCTGTATCAGGTGATACTGCAGGAACGTCTGCAACCTCCATTACAACCATCCTTCCTCGCAATTTCAACCAACTTCAATATCAGTTGGGAAGATCAAACAGTCAATTCTTCAGTCGGTTCTGGCTTTGGTACATCCATCGTGACTTCTTCCACCGTGTGTCTCTACTGGGATTTCTAGCCGACCTCACCAGGGACATCGTGGTTGAATTACCATCTCTGCTTCCTTGTTTCCTCTGTAGCCAACATCAACGGGAAACTTCTGTAAGGAACGCCTGGTTGAACTTGCATCTCAACTTCCGTTAGTTCTTTCTGTAGTCACATCAACAGAAACCTCTACAGCGACGCCTGGTTGAACCTGCCATCTCCACTTCCTTGGTTTCTTCTGTGGAAATATCAAGCGTAAGCCACGGAAGGTGATACTGGTGAATTTCCAACTCCACTTGCTGATTTCCTGCTCCTGTTCGAGGTCAAGGCTCACTTCTATGGGCGCAATAGCTTCTATTTGCACGTCGACCTCCTTTACCTCCCCATCATATGGTACCTCTAGTCCAACCTCAGCCGGGTAACAGCTTCAACCGTGATCTCCTCGCGGGACTGTATTGAAAATAACATCCATTCAGCTTGATGCGACAATTAGCATTTATAAATTAGTACGTTAGTTGCGGTACTTTTCGTGTCGCAATACGTCTCCAACCCATGCCTCAGCAACATGGTTAAGTTGTAAGTCATTAAACTTGGTCATTCTCTTTAAAAAATATAATGTGATGTGCATCATGCATTGTTGTGTAAGTATGTATATAAACCATTTTATAAAATCAGATGTTAAGTGAATAGTTAAAAGCACATGGAATTAATTGACTATTTTAGTCTTTGTTAGAAGCCTGTAGGTATTAGCTATAGTGGCAGGATTACGCTTCAGTTATTGGCAGAAGAATAATGTTAATTGCAAATGGTTGCGAATGTCAATCATAGTTCAGCTACGGTTATTTAACATTACCCCGTGTTTTAACACATAGGCATTTGTGCCAAAGCAAATACCTATATAAGGTTAGCACCTGATCTGCGATGAATTAGAAAATCAACATAACATAAACATCATACACTTAATAATTAAACATGGGAAATCCCATAGGCGTTTGATGCAGCCAGCTGTTATGTTGAATTTTGTATAGCAAAATTGCAGGTTTTAAATTGCCACTGATCATGCAGAAGGAGGCACATGTGTGAGTATATTATCTACCACTTTTCCAATTGAGTTTTAAAAAACAGAATTAATTAACCTCGTCACAATATAAAACTACCAATGAACCAGTTGGACATATCACAATAGTAATAGCCAATAATCACATGAATCTTACCAATTTCAAAAGCATTATTTGTTGCCTATCACAAGTAGAAAAGAAATATCGCAGATGGTACAACAAAATGACACATACCTGTTCCCTCTTCCTGTGTCATTGGCTTAAAGGTAACCTCCTCAGCAATTTCCTCAACGACCGTTATTGGTTTTGGAGTAATAACGAGTTCCTCAGACACCTCCTCAATTTCTTCCGCGATTTCATCTTTTGTTTTAACAATGACTTCAACTGCTTCAGTGGCATCTGCGAGTTCTTGCGGAAACTTCCTCTGGCTTGGTTGGAAGAACGATTGTGCTGGCCATTTCTTCTGATACTTCAGTAACCTCTTCTGTTGGTGAGGCGAATATCTACGCCATGATTTCTTCTGCTCGACGCTGTATCAGCGTGATACTGCAGGAACGTCTGCAACCTCCATTACACATCCTCCTCGGCACATTTCCACAACTTTTCAAATACTCAGTTCGGAAGAAATCAACAGTCAGATTCTTCAGTCGGGTTCTGGCTTTGTACATCATCGTAACATCTTCACGTTGTCTGCTACTGGGATTCTAAGCCGACCTCCGAGGGACATGCATATCAACGGAAACTTCTGCAGGAACGTCTGGTTGAACTTGCATCTCCACTTCCTTAGTTTCTTCTGTAGCCATATCAACGGAAACCTCTACAGGGACGCCTGGTTGAACTTGCATCTCCACTTCCTTAGTTTCTTCTGTAGCCATGTCAATGGAAACCTCTACAGGAACGCCTGGTTGAACTTGCATCTCGACTTCCTTAGTTTCCTCTGTAGCCATGTCAATAGAAACTTCTACAGGGACGCCTGGTTGAACTTGCATCTCAACTTCCTTAGTTTCTTCTGTAGCCATGTCAATGGAAACCTCTACAGGAACGCCTGGTTGAACTTGCATCTCCACTTCCTTGGTTTCTTCTGTGGAAATATCAAGCGTAGCCACGGAAGGTGATACTGGTTGAATTTCCAACTCCACTTGCTTGATTTCCTGCTCCTGTTCGAGGTCAAGGCTCACTTCTGTGGGCGCAATAGCTTCTATTTGCACGTCGACCTCCTTTACCTCGCCATCATATGGTACTTCTAATCCAACCTCAGCCGGTGTAATAGCTTCAACCGTGATCTCCTCGGCGACTGTATTGAAACAACATCCTTTTAGTTCCGTGAGTAGGTTTAGTAGTATTCTATTAGAAGCATGAGCTCATTCACGTTTTAGTAAAGTCATCAACACGTGCTCCTATTTTAGCAGTAGGTTCTAGGCAGTAGTTAGTTCCTCCATCCTATACATTAAGTTTTGTGAGTAGCTTTAGCAGTATTGCATTAGAAGCATGAGCTCATTCGCGTTTTAGTAAGGACATCAACACGTGCTCCTATTTCAGCAGTAGGTTTTAGGCAGTGATTAGTTCCTCCATCCTACAGTATGATCATCTCTAACAGTACTTTCAAGCAAGCCGAGTTATATATGTTAATAGATAATGCATAAATTATACATGCGATTGTGAATGTTATATTAATTACCCTAAGTTACCAACAGACTGTGTAAGCAAAACGTAAGTAATATATCTGTATACATGTTCCGTATCATGTATATAACACAGCAAAATATTCTGCACTGGGATTACCTGTTAGTATTTCTCTTAGAGAATATGGTATGAAAAACGAAATACAAACAAACAGGTGAATTGTTAAAATAAAAATTAATACAAAAAAAAACGTTAAAACAAAACAAAATAAGAGTTAGTTAAAATTGAGACACTGATTGGTAAGCATTATCCATGAGATGTTATGTAGTTGATGTTGACAAGCAGTGTTACCATAACTAAATTTTGGCTAAGTAAAGTAGTAAGCGTAAGACGTGCAGATGCTCACAAGAACTATTGATATAAAGGCGATATCATTTCAGGTCAATAATAATTATTTCCACTCTAGTTCATTTAACAATAAGAATAGCTTCTGATCTTTTTTCATATATCTAATAGCTTCCACAATATATATATATATATATATATATATATATATATATATATATATAAAATCTTACCTTCCTCTTCCACAGTGGGTTTCCTGGTCTCCACGGTAACCTCCTCTGTGATTTCCTCTACTGTAGCCACTTCTTCTTCCTCAGGTTTCAGAGTTATAGCTATGTATTCTTCAGCTTCTTCATCATGTGAGGTGGGTAGAGCCTGTGGTTTTGAAGGTAACAAGAATGACTCACTGATTACTTCAACATCTTCCTCTGTTTTGTCAAACTCAGGCATTGGCTGAAGAACCACTTGCTCTGAGATTTCTTCTGTCACCTCTTCAGGAACCTCAGACACCTCCATCACAATGTCTTGCTCTACTTCCTCGACCACTTCTGCTTCAACTGGAGCTTCTATCGTAACATCCTCTGTTACCTCCTCCTTCTTTGGCTTCTTTTTCTTCTTCTTCTTCTCAGGCTTTGGCACTTCCAGAGTCGTAACCTCCTCAAGTGTGGATTCGGTGGGAATCTCAAGGCCAACTTCAGCAGGAGCTTCTGGCTGGACTTCAATGACAAACCCTTCACCTATTTCCTCTTCAGGTGCTTTTACCTCCTCTGGCATTGTAGTAATCATAATAGCCTGACTCACCTCTTCCTCGACTTCTACAGGTGCTTCTTCAACCAATGGCTGGGAGGGGATGAGGACAGCTTCAGCTACATCCTCTGTTACATCTTCGTGTACTTCAGGGATTTCCACAGCCTCGAGAACGAAATCATCAACCACCTCTTCTGGTACCTCAGAAACATCCATCACAAATTCTTCTTCTTCTTCGTCAACGATCTTTACCTCCGTTGGAGCTTCGATTGTGATTTCCTCTGTCGGTTCTTCCTTCTGTGGCTTCTTCTTTTTCTTCTTCTTCTCCTCCTTAGGCTTAATAATCTCCATTTCTGTGAAAATAATATTGTAATTAAATAACTTAATAATTTAATATATTATAATATTATTTAATAATTTAACTCGGCCATTCCCTGTCATTTATTAGACTCATACTTAGACCAGTATGAACAATGTTCTGCTAAAATTCATTATATAAAGTTGTTGTTACTGTTAGTTTTCTTATACTAGTTATTTTCCTTATCAGATTAAAGGCCAATGTTGTTTGACCATTTGACCTAGTTGACGTGCACATAAAGTTAAGAGGCCATCATCCTGGCTACAGCACTGAGCAGTAGTTATACAGAATCCAGTTGGGAAATATCTAATCATTTTATTCTATTTTAATCATGATAACAATTGCTCAATTTGGTAAGTGCGATATGATTACAGAAGTGACAAGTTGTAAAATGGCAACTGATGGGGAGAAGCTGTAAAAAGACTTCTATACTAGGCTACTAATGCTTTTACCTGCATCAACCTCCTCAATAATCTCCTCTTCGTCGCCTGGTGTAGAAGCCAACACTATAGCTTCGAAAACCTCCTCAGTAACCTCATCAATGGGCTTCTCTTCCACAGGTACTGGTGCAAGTGTAATTTCTTCAATAACATCCTCCACGGGAGATTCCTCTTCCTTCTCTGTTGTAAAGACGAGCTCCTCACCAACCACCTCTTCTTCAAGCTCTTCCTCTGGTGCTTCCATTGTAATCTCCTCAGTCACATCTTCAACCTTTTTGGGCTTCTTTTTCTTCTTCTTTTTCTTTTCTAGCTGCACCTCAACATCTAATAAATATACAAGTGTTGACTACAGCATTGCCATCATGAAATTAGTGTCATTTCTTAATGTTTAGGATAAATCAATATATTAACTTTAACTCATATCGTATGAGATAGAAATCATGCACACAGCATACTGACATCCTACCTTCAATAACTTCTTTGGGCATTTCCTCCGGTTGAACCTCTAGAAGAACTTCTTCTGGTTCTTCTGGTAGTACTTGTACCTTCTCGGGCACCTCTTCAGGTTTTTCCTCTACCTCCTTTTCAGGGGCAGGCAGCTGTTCTAGTTTTCTTTTAATTTCGAAGATGGCCTATAACACAAAGGTCCCAGTAAAGTGATTAATCTTACAGTAATGACTTATTATATAATGTTTGAAAATTGTATTAAAATAATATTACTATAATACAAATAATAAAAACAAGAAACAACACATGAAACGGAAAACGTATTAGATACAGTGAATGAAATATGATAAACAGTCTATATATAATATACCTCAACTTCATGAGGTTGCAGTTCGCCCTCAGTTTCGGCTGTTGAGATAACAGCACGAAGACGAATGATGTCCTCCTCCACTACATCCTCAAGGTCCTCATGCACAGTTTTCTTCAACATGTCCTTCCAGTTATATTCTTCTTCATCAAATATGGTTTTCTTAACCTCGCTATATAAAAGCCAAAACACATAAAAGGAAACACCGCAAAATCGTTGATCATTCATATGTTGAACGTAGTAAAGATGTTTCTGATGTCTTCAGACAAGTATTAGACAAAACATGGAAATCACCTGCTTGTCAATAAACATGGAATAGAAACAAATTTCATCATTTCTCACACTTACGTTGTTTTTAGTCTCTTTTTATGGTCGACCTCCTCTTTTGGCTTCTCCTTAACAGTGACAGTCATCACGATATCATCAAAGCCAAAATCATTTTCAATTTCACATCGGTATTGGCCGGCATCCTTTTCACTTGTATCATTGATCGTGAAGAAGTGTGTGTCAGTTTCTTCATCATATGTGATCTAAAGTAATATCAAGATATATTATAGTATGATTGTAACCACAAATAATACTAAAACAAGTTCGTAGTTATGTAAAATGTAGTCATGTTTTAAAAAATTGCAATTTATTGCAAATGTAATCAGTCTATAGATGGTTACCTGGTATTTGTCGGTTGGCTTGAGCTTCAGCAGTTTACCCTTGATCCACTGGACATCTGGATGAGGGACACCTTTGCATTTCCATTCAATAACAGTTGGATAACCTGAAAAATTAACAGCATAATTACATTTTTCTTCTACTTCAACACTGTAAGTGTAGATAATATAGTCCAAGGTGATGAGAGAAATAGAAAAAGAGGTTGTGTACTTGCAGATAGCTACCAAGCAGTAGGCCTACTAAGCAGTACCAAGTTTCATTTAAAAATGTGTCATGTGTGAATAAAAACTGTAAATATAATTATTTCATGAATGGCAAAACATACATAGTTATAAAATCATATACATTTTCCTACACACGAATAATAATAATATCTGACTGTTAAATAATCTGACATATACACTTACCATTGTATGCCTCAACCTCCCTGGGGAACTGGGTGAAATATGGTGACATACCAGTCTGCTTTGGCTTTTCTTCTACAGCAAATCACATGAATATTAGATATATCACAAGCAGAGTCACATTCAAAAATATAACAACACAACCGTTTCATATAATACAACCATACCATATTTCTAAGTAAAAAAATAATAGCAAGAATAATGGCTCCTTCATAATTAAATAATATTTAATTGTATTATCACGCAGCTGATATGCTTACACTCATCATCGTGCAACTATGCACGGTTAATATAATTGTGATAATATTCACAGTTCTTTATAGTAAGTTATATTAACATACAATCTGACTATAAATTCCTCATACATTTTCAACATAACAATGTATTAAAAAGAGCTCTCAAATTTGGTAATACAAAGAAACATTATGAGTAATGTATAATTAAGAGACGTTTATCCACGTACCTTTACATAACTCTCCTGCCTGCGTGGATTGTGTACACTTATCTGTGTTTGTGGTTATATCACCGACAGGCAAAGTCATAAATAAATAAGCTCATCATAATGTCAGCAAAAACACTCAATACGACGAGTGTTGTAATAATGCTGTGAGGACATATATACCTTCAGGAACCTGTTCCTCTTCTACCGGTTGTTCGAAGATGATTTCCTCAGTCACTTCCTCAATAACCTCAGGGACAGTTTCCTCTTCTGCAACTATTACGATTTCTTCAGTTATCTCTTCAGTCACTTCAGGAACCTCTTCAACTGGTTTAACCTTAAGAACAACCTCTTCAGTGGTTTCCTCAGCTGGCTTTGGTTTCTTCTTCTTTTTCTTCTTTTCTACGTGTGCAATTTCTACTTCTGAAAATAGAACGCCCTTTGAGCAACCACTTCTAAGTTCATAGCTGCCAGACACGTCTTATCACATTGTCTCACTAAACATTATATATTGAGACAATCTTTTGATGAGACGTAATGGCAGACTAATAAACCAGCAGCTACAGAGCACTATTTCCTGTGCTCGACATGAAAAATGTGTTGACAAATACTTACCATCAATGATGTATTGCAAATGCTTCATCATAGTAACTTATTGAAGAGCTTTATTGATTTACCTTTATACATTTGTCTTATTCTGTTGGTTTAGATGCACTTATCAGTTTTTGTAGAACACAATCATGAAGATTCTATTTTACGTTACTGACATATTCAAGTGAGATATCTCCATGGTAATATTAACAGATGTTCTATGAATCGAAAAAAAACAGAACTAGATTTCCCCAGCCATGGTAATTACAACTAAGCCAGGCTAAGATCCTAGCAATAAAGGTAGTTCATGATTACTATAGGCGCACCAGTTGTTAGATTTTGTATAATCACAACGTTGTGATAATTTCCAATAGGAAAATCTTTACCTTCTGGAACCTGTTCCTCTTCGACAGGCTGTTCGAAGATGATTTCCTCAGTTACTTCCTCAATAACCTCAGCAACGGCTTCTTCTTCTGTTACTATTAAGACATCCTCAGTTATCTCTTCAGTCACTTCAAGAACCTCTTCTGGTACCTCTTCGACTGGTTTAACCTCAATAACCACCTCTTCAGTGGTTTCCTCAGGTTGAGGAAGTTCTTCTACAACTTCTTCTACTGGCTTCGGTTTCTTCTTCTTTTTCTTCTTTTCTACGGGTTTGATTTCTATTTCTGTAAATAGAACACTCTATGAGCAACCACTTCCAAGTTCATAGCTGCCAGAGATGTCTCATGTAATTGTCAGCTTGCATGTCATGCACAGTGACAATGCTCCGATGAGACATCATGGCTGACTAATGAACCAGCTGCTAAAGAGTATTATTTAGCAGTAAGTAGTTAGTAAGTTCATAGCTGTTAGACACGTCTTATCACATTGTCTCACTAAACATTTTGAATTGAGACAATGTTCTGATGAGACGTAATGACAGACTCATGAACAAGCAGCTATGGAGCACTATTTCTGACTCAGGCATGAAGAAACGTTCACAAATACTTACCATCAATGGTATATTGCAAATATCCCAACGTAGCAATTTATTGAACAAATAATTTCACTTACCATCATACATTTGTCTTATTCTGATTGCTTAGGTGCACTAAGTGGTTTTTGTAGTAAGCATAGTACTAAGATGATATGCGCTTTTAATTTCAATTTAGTTACAAATTTGAACCACATATCTCCATTTTGTTTTTAGATGTGTCCTATGACTCTTAAAATGTGTAGTTGTATAGCACCACAATGAATATGACATATAAAGTGGATTTATATCCTATAAGTGAATTGCACCTTACCAGAAAGACATTTTTGACAATTATAATGTTGTATTAATTTCAGGTTAAGACATCTACCTTCTGGAACCTGTTCCTCTTCTACTGGGTGTTCGAAGATGATTTCCCCAGTTACTTCCTCAGTGACCTCAGTAACTACTTCCTCTTCTGTTACTATTACAATTTCTTCAGTTAACTCTTCAGTCACTTCGGGAACCTCTTCAACTGGTTTAACTTCAAGAACAACCTCTTCAGTGGTTTCCTCGGGTTGAGGAAGTTCTTCTACAACTTCTGCTACTGGCTTCGGTTTCTTCTTCTTTTTCTTCTTTTCTACACGTGTGATTTCTATTTCTGTAAATAGAACACTCTTTGAGCAAGCACTTCCATGTTCATAGCTGCCAGACATGTCTCATGTAATTAATTGTCACCTTGCATGTCATGCACAGTGACAACGCTCCAATGAGACATCATGGCAGACTAATGAACCAGCTGCTAAAGAGTATTATTTACGACTGCCGCAGGAGCGAACATTTCATTTATACCTACCGTCAATGTTGCAGTGCAGAAGACTTAAATTGTCTCATTGGAAAATTTAACTCCCTTACCATGGAGCAACTCTCCCACTAAACTAGTATAGTATTTGTTTGTCTTAATAATGATATCCATATGAACACGTTCGTTATTTTTTCATTTTGAACTGCTGATCTATTTAAATTGCAACAGTTCTCTGGTTCTTATAGCTGTTTTAGAACTCGTGAATTATACTGTTTCAGCCAGTTCATCAATGGGAAAGTTGTCACCAAATGCAAATAGTAGTAAAAAAATTTGCCATGTGATAATACTCTGCAAAACACCCAGACGCTGTAAAATTTCACAGTAAGGACATATGTACCTTCTGGAACCTGTTCCTCTTCTACTGGTTGTTCAAAGATGATTTCCTCAGTGACTTCCTCAGTGACCTCACGAACTGTTTCCTCTTCTGTTATTATTACGATTTCTTCAGTTATTTCTTCAGTCACTTCAGGAACCTCTTCTGGTACCTCTTCAACTGGTTTAACCTCAAGAACCACCTCTTCAGTGGTTTCCTCAGGTTGAGGAAGTTCTTCTACAACTTCTTCTACTGGCTTCGGTTTCTTCTTCTTTTTCTTCTTTTCTACAGGTGTGATTTCTATTTCTGTAAATAGAACACTCTTTGAGCAATCACTTCCAAGTTCATACCTGCCAGATATGTCTCATATAATTGTCAGCTTGCATGTCATGCACAGTGACAACACTCCAATGAGACATCATGGCAGACTAATGAACCAGCTGCTAAAGAGTATTATTTACTACTGCAGAACATGCACAAATGTTCCAGTAATACCTACCTTCAATCCTACGCCACTAATGAGTCTTATATATGCTCATTGGAAACTGCTCTTATCTTACATTGGGGCAACACTCCTACACGGTCAGTTGAGTTTCATTTGTTTATATTAACAATTGTGTAAATATAAACACGTTTATTATATCCTCATTTTAAACTGCTGATCCAGTTAAATTGATAAAGCTCCCTTGCTTTTTATACCTGTTCTATGAATCGTAAAATATACACTTGCAATTCAGTGCAGTAACAGTGAAAATTATATCACCTGCACATCGTGTTAGTGAAAGCTCTTTCCATGTCATAATATATTTCAGATTACCAGTCATGTAATATTTTTCAGTAAGGAAACATCTACCTTCTGGAACCTGTTCCTCTTCTACTGGTTGTTCGAAGATGATTTCCTCAGTTACTTCCTCAGTGACCTCAGTAACTACTTCCTCTTCTGTTACTATTACAATTTCTTCAGTTATTTCTTCAGTCACTTCGGGAACCTCTTCAACTGGTTTAACTTCAAGAACAACCTCTTCAGTGGTTTCTTCAGGTTGAGGAAGTTCTTCTACAACTTCTTCTACTGGCTTCGGTTTCTTCTTCTTTTTCTTCTTTTCTACAGGTGTGATTTCTATTTCTGTAAATAGAACACTCTTTGAGCAATCACTTCCACGTTCATAGCTGCCAGAAATGTCTCATGTAATTGTCACCTTGCATGTCATGCACAGTGACAACGCTCCAATGAGACATCATGGCAGACTAATGAACCAGCTGCTAAAGTGTATAATTTACGACTGCCGCAGGAGCGAACATTTCATTTATACCTACCGTCAATGTTGCAGTGCAGAAGACTTATATTGTCTCATTGGAAAATTTAACTCCCTTACCATGGAGCAACTCTCCCACTAAACTAGTATAGTATTTGTTTGTCTTAATAATGATATCCATATGAACACGTTCATTATTTTCTCATTTTGAACTGCTGATCTATTTAAATTGCAACAGTTCTCTGGTTCTTATAGCTGTTTTAGAACTCGTGAATTATACTGTCTCAGCCAGTTCATCAATGGGAAAGTGACAACTATACCAAATGCAAATTGTAGTAGTAAAAACAATTGCCATGTGATAATACTCTGCAAAACACACAGACGCTGTAAAATTGCACAGTAAGGACATATGTACCTTCTGGAACCTGTTCCTCTTCTACTGGTTGTTCAAAGATGATTTCCTCAGTGACTTCCTCAGTGACCTCAGGAACTGTTTCCTCTTCTGTTATTATTACGATTTCTTCAGTTATTTCTTCAGTCACTTCAGGAACCTCTTCTGGTACCTCTTCAACTGGTTTAACCTCAAGAACCACCTCTTCAGTGGTTTCCTCGGGTTGAGGAAGTTCTTCTACAACTTCTTCTACTGGCTTCGGTTTCTTCTTCTTTTTCTTCTTTTCTACAGGTGTGATTTCTGCTTCTGTAAATAGAACACTCTTTGAGCAATCACTTCCACGTTCATAGCTGACAGACATGTCTCATGTAATTGTCACCTTGCATGTCATGCACAGTGACAACACTCCAATGAGACATCATGGCAGACTAATGAACCAGCTTCTAAAGAGTATTATTTATGACTGCAGGGCATGGACAAATGTTCCAGCTATACCTACCTTCAATCCTACATCACTAAAGAGTCTTATATAGGCTGATTGGAAACTGCTATTATCTTACGTTCGGGCAACACTCCTACACGGTCAGTTCAATTTTATTTATTTGTATTAATAATTGTGTAAAGATAAACATGTTTATTATATCCTCAGTTTAAACTTCCGAACAAGTTAAATTTATAAAGCTCCCTCGTTTTTATACCTATACTATGAATCCTGATATATACACTTGCAATTCAGTGCAGTAAAGGTGAAAATTATATCAGCTGCACATAGCGTTAGTGAAAGTTCTTTCCATGTCAAAATATATTTCAGAATACTAGTCATATGTAATGTTTTTCTGTAAGGACATTTCTACCTTCAGGAAACTGTTCCTCTTCTATTGGTTGTTCGAAGATGATTTGCTCAGTTACTTCCTCAGTAACCTCAGTAACTGTTTCCTCTTCTGTTACTATTACAATTTCTTCGGTTATTTCTTCAGTCACTTCAAGAACCTCTTCTGGTATCTCTTTGACTGGCTTAACCTCAAGAACAACATCTTCAGTGGTTTCCTCAGGTTGAGAAAGTTCTTCTACAACTTCTACTACTGGCTTCGGTTTCTTCTTCTTTTTCTTCTTTTCTACACGTGTGATTTCTGCTACTGTAAATAGAACACTCTTTGAGCAATCACTTCCACGTTCATAGCTGCCAGAAATGTCTCATGTAATTGTCACCTTGCATGTCATGCACAGTGACAACACTCCAATGAGGCATCATGGCAGGCTAATGAACCAGTTGCTAAAGAGTATTATCTACAACTGCCGCAGGAGCAAACATTTCATTTATACCTACCGTCAATGTTGCAGTGCAGAAGAGACTTATATTGTTTCATTGGAAAATTTAACTCCCTTACACTGGGGCAACTCTCCTACTCAACTAGTATAGCTTAATTTGTTTGCCTTAATAATCATATTCATATGAATACGTTCATTATTTTTTCATTTTTTGAAACTGCCGATCTATTTAAATTGCAACAGCTCTCTGGTTCTTCCCTAGCTTGTTTTTAGAAGCCTCGTGAATCTATACTGTTTCAGCCGTTCCTCAGGGAAAGTGACAACTAATACCAAAATGCAAATTGTAGGGGTAAAAACACTTGGCCGATGTGATAATACTCTACAAAAGCATCCCAACGCTGTAAAATTTTAGGCAGTAAAGGAGCATAATGTAGCCTTCTGGAACCTGTTCCTCTTCTACTGGTTGTTGCAAAAGATGATTTCCTCAGTGACGTTCCTCAGTGCACCTCGGAGACTGTTTCGCTCTTCTGTTATTATTATGATTCCTTCAGTTATTTCTTCAGTCACGTTCAGGACCTCTTCGGTACCTCTTCAACTGGTTTAAGCTCAAAAGGAACCCTTCAGTGGTTTCCTCTGGTGCTGGAAGTTCTTCCTACAGACTTCCTGTACTGGCTTCGTTTCTTCTTCTTTTTCTTCTTTTTCCAACAGGCGGTGTACATTTCTCTTTCTGTAAATAGATACACTCTTTGAGGCAAGTCGGCTTCCAACTGTTCATAGCTGCCAGAAATGTCTTCATGTAATTGTACACCTTGCATGTTCATGCACACGTGATCAACCACTCCACATGAGACCTAATCATGCGCAAGAAATAATGAACCAGCTGTCTAAAGAGTAATTATTGTATGACTGGCAGGGCCATGGACACAATGTTTCGCAGGCTATACCTACTACCTTCAATCCTACGAATCACTAAAGAGTCTTATATAGGCTGATTTGGAAACTGGCTATTATTTACCTTTGGGCAACACTCCTACACGGTCAGTTCAGTTTCCATATTTAATTTGTATTAATAATTGTGAAAGAATAAACACGTATTTATAGTCGCTCAGTTTTAAAAGCTGTCGCGAACGAGTTAAATTGATAAAGCTCCCTCGTTTTATACGCTATTCTATGATCCTGATATATACACGTTGGCAATTCAGCCGCAGTAATAAGGTGAAAATTGTATCAGCTGCACATCATGTTAGTGAAAGCTCTTTCCATGTTATAATGTATTTCAGATTACCAGTCATGTAATAATTTTCAGTTAGGACATTTCCTACCTTCACGGAAGCCTGTTCCTCCTCTATGTGGTTGTCAAAGATGAATTTGCTGCAGTTACTTGCCTGCAGTACCTCCAAGTAACGTTTTCCTCTTTGGTTACTATTACATTTCTTGCAGTTATTTTTCGTTCACTACAGGACCTCTTTCTGGTAGCCGGTCTTTCGACTGGCTTAACACTCAAGACAACATCTTCAAGTGATTTCCTCAGGTTGAGGAAGTCTTCTACTGCTCGGTTTCTTCTTGCTTTTTCTTCTTTTCTAAAGCAGGTGTGATTTCTGCTACTGTAAATAGAACACGTCTTTGAGGCTAATCACTTTCCATGTTCATAGCTGCCAGACATAATCGTCATGCTAATTGTGCACGGCTTGGCATGTCATGCACATTAACAACACTGCAATGAGACATGCATGGGCAGGCCTAATGAACACAGTTGCTATAAGAGTATTTATCTACAACTGCCGGCAGGAGCGCTTTCATTTATACCCTACCGCATCAAACAGTTGACGGTGCAAGCTGGCAGAAGAGACTTATATTCGTTTCATTGGAAATTTACCTCTCTTCACTGAGCTGGAGCAACTCTCGCTAGCTCACTAGTATAGCTTATCATTTGTTTGCCCTTAATAAATCATGTCCATACTGAATACGTTCATTATTTTTATCATTTTGAACTGCCGATCTATTTAATTTGGCACACAGCTCTCTGTTCTATAGCTGTTTTAGGAACTTGTGAATTTATACTGTTTCAGCCCAGTTTCAAATGCAACTGGAAAGTGACAACTATACCAACATGCAAATTGTAGTGTAAAAACAATTCCATGTATATAATACTCTACAAAAACATCCCCGACGCTGTAAAATCATACAGTAATGGACATTGTTTACCTTCTTGAACCTGTTCCTGCTTCTACTCGTTGTTTCCAGATGATTTCCTCAGTGACTGTTCCTCAGTGCCTGCAGGAACTGTTTCCTCTTCTGTTATTGATTAGCGATTTCCTTCCAGTTATTTCTTCAGTCGCTTCAGGAACCTCTGACTCGGCTACTCTTCAACTGGTTTAACCTCAAGAACCAGCACTCTTCAGGTAGTTTCCTCGGTTGAGGAAGTTCTCTACCAACTTTTCTACTGCTTTCGGGTTTTCTCTTGCTTTTTCTTCTTTTGCTATCACGTGTGATCTTCTGCTTCTGTAACATAGAACACCTCCTTTGAGGCAATCAACTTCATGTTCATAGCTGCAGAGCATATCTCATGTCTATTGTCAGCCGCCCTGATGTCATGCACAGTGACAACGACTCCAATGAGAGCACATTATGGCAGACTAATGAACAGGCAGCTTTAAAGAGTATTATTTATCGACTGCAGGGCAAATGGACGAAATGTTTCCACTACTGCTATAGCCTTTCAGATCATACTGACTAAAGAAGTCTTATATAGGCTGAATTGAAACAATGTAGTTATTTTACCTTTGGGCCAAGCACTGCGCTGACAGCGGTCAGTTCGAGTTTCATTTATTTGGTATTAATAGGATTGTGTGTAAGACTAAACCGTTTATTATATGCTCAGTTAAACTTCGCGACAGCGAGTTAAATTGTATAAAGCTCCCTCGTTTTTATCCTATTCTAATGATGCCTGATATATACACTTGGCAATTCAGCGCAGTAGAGGTGAAACATTATATCTCAGCTGCACATAGCGTGTAGTGAAGAGCTCTTTCATGTGCATAATATATTTCAGAATATTCTAGTGCATGCGTATGTTTTTCTGTAAGGACATATTCTACTTCAGAACCTGTTGTTCGGCTCCTTGAACGGTTGGTTGTTCAAAGATGATTTGGTTGCAGTTACTTCCTCAGTGATACGTCGTCATCAGTAAACTGTTTCCTCTTCTGTTACTATTACAATTTTCTTCAGTTATGGTCTTCTTCAGTCACTTCAGGAACCTCCTTCTGGTGCGCTCTTCGACTGGCTTACCTCAAGAACATACAATTCTTTCAAGTGGTTTCCTCAGGTGTGAGGCAAGTTCTTCTACTGGCTTCGGTTTCATCTCTTTTTCTTGACTTTTCTACAGGTGTGAATTCTTTGCTACTGTAAAATAGAACATTCTTTGAGCAATCACTTCCATGTTCATACTGCCAGAGCATATCTTATGCTAATTGTAACCGGTTGCAGTGTCATGCACAGTGACCAACATCCAAATGAGACATCATGGCAGGCTAATGAACCAGTTTTGCTGTAAAGGAGTATACTATCTTAGCAACGCGTGCGCATGAGCGAGACATTTTCATTTATACCATAACCGTCAATGTTGCAGTGGCAGAATAGACCTTATATTGTTTCAGTTGGACAAATATTAACCTCTCTCTACAGACTGGCAACTCTGTCGCACTGCAATAGTATAGCTAATTTGTTTGCCTTAAAGTAATGCATGTCCATGATAATACGTTCATTATTTTTTCATTTTTGAAGCTGCGCGATCTAATTTAAATTGCAACAAGCTCTCTGTGTTCTTATAGCTGTTTTTAGAAACTTCGGTGAATTATACATGTTTCAGCCATGTTCATCAATGCGGAATAGTGACAACTGAATAGCCAAATGCAAATTGTAGTATTAAATAACCTTGCCATGTGATAATCAGCTCTACAAACACTCCCAACGCCTGTAAAATTTACAGTAAGGACATATGTACGCTTCTGGAAGCTGTTTTCTCTTCTTACTGTTTGTTCAGAGATGATATTCCTCAGTGACTTCCTGCAGTGACCTCAGGAAGCTGTTTGCCTCTTCTGTTACTTATTATGATTTCTTAGTTATTTCTTCAGTCACTTCAGGACGTCTTCTGGTACGCTCTTCAACTGGTTTAACCTGCCCAAGAACCACGCTCTTCAGTGTTTCCTCGGGTTGAGGAAGTTCCTTCTACAACTTCTTGTACCTGGCTGTCGTTTCTTCTCTCTTTTTCTTCTTTTCTACACGTGTGATTTCTGGCTTCTGTAAATAGCAACACTCTTTTGAGCAATCACTTCCCATGTCATGAGGCTTGCAAGACATATCCATCTAATTGTCACCTGTGCATTCATGCAGCAGTGACAACACTCCAATGCAGATATCATGGCCAGGGCTACTGAACCAAGTTGCTAAGGAGTTTATCTACAACTGCGGCGCAGGAGGCGAACATTTCATTTATACGCTACTGTGCCAATGTTGCAGTGGGGGCAGAAGAGACTTATATTTTTCTATTGGAAAATTTAACTCCCTTACCACTGGGGCAACTCTCCTAATCAACTAGTACTAGCTGTAATTTGTTTTGCTTAATTATGTCTTATCATATTTCCCATGATGAATACGTTCAATTATTTTTTTTAATTTTGAACTGCCGATCTATTTAAATTGGCAACAGCTTCTCTGGTTCTGCAAGCGTATTGTTAGAAACTCGGTGGATATACTGGTTTCCAGCCAGTTCATCAATGGGATGAAGTGACAACTATACCGAAATGCAAATTGTAGTAGTAAAAAGCAATTGACAAGTTGATATATACTCTGGCAAAACATCCCCCGACCTGTAAAATTTTACCAGTAAAGGACATAGTAGCCTTNTTTCTATTTCTGTAAATAGAACACTCTTTGAGCAATTACTTCCAAGTTCATAGCTGCCAGACATGTCTCATGTAATTGTCACCTTGCATGTCATGCACAGTGACAATGCTCCAATGAGACATCATGGCTGACTAATGAACCAGTTGCTAAAGAGTATTATTTACGACTGCGGGCATGCACAAATGTTTCAGTTGCACCTACCTTCAATCTTACATCCCTAATGAGTATTATCGTGGCTCATTGGAAACTATAAATCGTTTACCTTGGTTCCACTCAGCAATTCAGCCACTTTACTATCAATTGTTTGTGTTGGTAATCATATAAATATAAACTGTTGTTTATATCCTAATTTTACACTGCTTATCTATTTAAATTGATATATTTCCATTGCCTTTTATAACTGTCCTACGCATCCCAACCTTTATTGATGCAATTCATGTGAGCATGTTGCAACACACGTTGCAACGAAAAGATTGCCCTAAGTTTGTCATGAAAATAACTAATACTTTTGATTACTAAGTACTGATTTTTTTGCTTTTACGACTGCATGAAATCAAAGGCATACGTGGACATCCCTGCATATACGTTACATATTCTGTATAATAAATACTCTTTCCCCTAATATCTGTGCCTGATGCCTTGCAAGTAATATTTCAAAAAGAGTAAAAAAAGAGAGACACCTGTTTATCAACACTTGAGGCCTAGCTGCTGGAAACAAATGGCTATTAAATGCTATAGACAAATTGAAGAAGTGCATCATGCCAAACCTTCTAGTTTCTGTTCTTCCAGGTTAAGTGTTAACTCTTCTGGAGCCAACTCTTCAGGCAATTCATCAATGTAATCTTCAACTAAAATGACAAAACACACAAAACATCAGAGCACGTTCATAGACACATTATTCAGATTTGCTATTAGATGTTCATACAAACAAATTTAAAGAATAAGTGAAATTTTCTGACTTATATATTATTGTACTGGTTACTTTTTCATTCATAAATGACAAGATTGAATAATAATTATGGATACTTGTGAGCATACTTAAAGTTTGAAAATGCGTTGAAAAATAAGAACTCTTGTACTAATATGTGACACTTACTAGGCACAATAAGTGTTGCTGATACTGTGGCTTCCCCAACCTCATTGAAAGCCTTGCAATAGTAAGTGCCCTGATCATCAGTGTACACATGGTTGATGATTAGCTCTGTGTAATCGTCCTCAAAGATGATCTCAAAGTCCTTTGAAGGCATGATTTCGAAGCTTTCTGCATACCATGTAATGACTGGTTCTGGATAGCCAGTGAACTATGGTAAAACAAATTGCATCATGATAAATGCACATGCAATATATTTGCTAGCCTGATCACACCACATGCACAAGAATGTATAACACACTAGTTCCGAATAGATCATTCCAAAGCAAGATTTCATTACTGAAATAATGACGGTGCCTGTATGCTTACTGATGCAGACACGATTACACCAGTACTTACGTATGTCTTAAAGTGTGCTTCCCCACCCTCTTTGATTGTGATAACAGGAATCTTTGTAAGTTCCGGAGCCTCAAACATCTGTGAGAAAAATTCTCAACTTAGGCAGGGGGCCAAAGTTTCTTTTATGGCATATTTGCATATCTTAGCTTATTGGAAGAAATCTACATATGAAAACTAATCACCCAGTATTTGTCATTACCATGTGGCTGAATAAAATAAGAATTTTCCATCTACATTGCTGTTATAAATTCTAGTAGTTGTAATAAAAGTAAAACGTTGAATGCCCAACCAACCAACATATGAAAGTCCAACCAACATATAACTACATGTTGATGCCAATTAAATATTAACATGTCAATAGTTTAATGGCAATTCTGTTCGATTTTTGTATGCTATAAATGATGTCCCAACAATGATTTACTCATACCTCCTCTGGCATTTTCTGAAGAATCTCTGCAAATGAACAAATGATACAATTTAAAATTATTTTTTTACAATTAACTACATTACACCAATGCGATGACACAAAACAAATATAATAAGTAATAGAAATGATTACAACATTTGACATACGACATTCAACATATGTGAAAAAGCATATAAACCTTATTTATACCTGAAAAATATTAGCATATATCTATGTATCATTTATCTATGTACACTTAAACATATCTCCAGTAAATATACCTACCTTCTTTAGGCTTCTTCTTCTTCTTGATCTTTTTCTTGTCAACAACTAAAAAATCAATGATCAATAATATCAACATTCACAGCCAAAATATTCAAACTGAAACATTTTACTATATACATATATTAATCTTATTCACCTATAGCGCTGCCAGAAAATAATACTGTCCCATTCTTTTGAAATATAATAACCTCGTTTTAAAAATGCCATAACAACTGCCTGTAATATACAAGTGTACACAGTTTATACAAGTGTACTTATTTATATTAACAGCATTGGCTACACTTTACACTCTGATATTACATAATACGATAGAGGACAATACCTTGAATAAATTATCACATTTCACATGGTGCTATCGACCCTACCTCTTTCAATAGCTTCTTGTTCTATAACCTCAACGATCACTTCCTGGGGTGCCTCCTCCTCAGGTACCTCTTCCAACAAAATATCCTCAGGTACCTCTTCCAACAAAATATCCTCAGGAACCTCGTCTGGGACGTGAGAGTAAAAATATTAGGTGTTGCTATTTTTAATGTTTAAACCATGTTAGGCAATAGGTATTCTCAGTACTGATGAACCTGTTATGACTAATATCATTCTATTATACAATATATGATTCATATTATGTACTACCTAATATCCTATGTTAGCTAAACCTGGTTTTTCCTCATCAACAATTTCCAAGATGACTAGAAGAGCTATTTGCACTTCTTTACATGGTATTTCTGTGAAAACAATGCTTTCAGAGTTCACTTTAATTTCCATAAACCCTGCAATACTGTTAAAATAATGACTGCATGAAATTTAGTTTGAAACCTGCTTTATTCCATGTCTATCGGCCACATACCTTCAGGTTTTTTGACTTTCTTTTTCCGCTTCTTCTTTTCCATTACTGTATAAAAAAATGAGAAAACCAAGTGCTCGTGTGTATGTCAATATTTACAATACACAGTAAATCTGCAAGTATAATGCTAGATAATTATAATCATGAACGTACTTATACTGTATCGTGTAATAGAGAATGAATATTTTCATGTTATAATTCACTTTTTAGTTATTTCATACACTGACTGAATGATACTTGTCAATGCTCACAGAAATGAGGCAGGACAAATGTGCATTGAGAAAACACTGACTCCAATTACAAGCTCCTTTATGATGCTTCCAATCAACAAGCAAAAGAAAATGGTTGTTTAGTTTATATATATATATATATATATTATTATAATGTGTAAATCTGTGCACGAGCACATGTATGTGGGAGTATGAAAATTAATTACCCTCAGGAACAACTTCTGTGACCTCTGGTGTAATTTCCTCTGGAGCTTCTTTAGCTGGCATCTCATGTTCAGGAAACTCCTCTTCTACAGTTACCTCTTGCTCCACTAATGAATATAAGTAATATAATAAAAACATATATGTCCTATCCTATCTAGCATTATGATAAGAAAATAAGGACAATTTACTCACCTTTAATGGACTGTATCCACCATAAAAACGAGACCCACATTGACAATTTAATAGAACACAGATGTACATGCCCACGCACACATTCACTTAGACAAATAATTTGTTCACGTAATCTACAAGGCTTTTTAAGTTTTCAGTGAATTCTTGATTTCGTGGCTATCAACTTTGGCCTAATCAAGATTAAGGATGAATTGAGATTTGTTCAAACGGTTTTTTAAATACACTGAATACACAACAGAATTGTGCTACGTACTTGGCACGAATAGCATGGCAGCAACTGAGTCTTCTCCATATTCATTTTCTGCTCTACACCAATAGGAGCCCTGGTCATCTGTGTAGACGTGGGTGATCACCAGTTCTGCCACGTTGTCTTCAAAAGTTATTTCAAAGTCGGGAGAGTCTGTGAGTTCTACATGTTCAACACCCCAGGTGATTGTTGGAATCGGATAGCCAGTAACCTATGGCAAATAAAAAAAAACATACAGATTACATTAGTTTGAATAGCTCGACTTAATGTTCACAGAAAGATGCTGCTGGTTCCCCTTTCAATATACAATCACATGTAGCGACCAATATTAGGCCATTGTATGCAGGACACCATACATAATGTCTTATGCACAACGGATGCGGTAACATCCAGCCAGAAAAACAAAGAAACAGACGGTGAGCGCGCGAAGTGTCAAGGCCGATGAAGGAAGTAAAAATACGGTTTCTGCGCTCACGGCAGAACCCCAAGACAGAGTCCGAGAGAAGTCACGTGCCAGTGTGAATCGACGTTCGGCGTTACGAGTCAATAAAGCTACATCGTACCCTCTACTTTTGCTCTTCTCCTTTGGTTATTTACTCCCGTGGTTATTCTCCTACCTTTCCCCCTCACACTTGTGTAGTGTCACGCTAGACGCTACACCTCAGTATCCCATAATAGTGTCACCTCCCAGTATACCACTACTCCAGAAAGAAAACGGTTAGAGAGTATTGCAGGAAAAGTGCTTCCTTCCTGTGAGAAATGATTGTCCAGGAATATGCTTGAATCTTTATCACATAGCTCTAATGTACAACACTGTGCTGTACTGTCTGTTGGTTTCTGCTGCTAAGCTATGTGATATCAGATCACAGAAAACACTTGTTCTGTATAGCCTCTCCATACAACTCACTATTATGACCAAAATTGGCCAGAATCTTACCCATGACTACGTGCATCTTATGATCATCAGCTTACAGAGCATGTTGTTATTATTAGCAGCATAAGTGAATTATATGACCGCTCAAATGATGATTATTATTCAATACTAGTTTTTGTACATATTCAACAGGGTACACGTGAATACTCCTACCAGCTAACATGATGTTTATTTACTTGGATGCAATTTCCACAATAGGGCACTATTCCATATTACATGACTAACATAATAACTTACAAATGTTGTGAAGCAAGCCACTTCACCTTCGACGAGTGTCAAATCAGGCATAGGAGTCAAAGCAGGTGCCTCAGGAGATACAACCTAGAAAGAAATTGTGAAAATGTGAAATCTAACTGCCCTCACTTAAAACCTCAGAGTTCATGTAAATATAACACAATATTACTATACATTATATCCTACAGAAGATAATCCTACTACACAGACAATCTCATTGCATAAATAAAAATGCTTCCACAATTACCTTTACACTAGTCAAAAAAGATGCTTACCTCTTCTGGCACTTTAGGAGCTGTCAAAAAGAAAAGTAAAATGTTTTAAATATCTATACAAATCAGTGCAGGCATTGTGTATGATATACTGAATGTTCTCTTATTACCTTTGCTACATTCTAGTCAAACTTAGAAAATATGACATCTGTGGAACTTAATTAAAACATTAGAACGAAAAAGGCTTTTACAGATATATATATTCAGCATTAAATTACTAACCTCTCTCCTTCTTTTTCTTCTTCTTTTTCTTCTCAGTAATTTCAACCACATCTTCTGTTACTGAAATTAACATAAACAATCTGTTAAAAGTACAATCTCAAGAGTAACATCCTCAAACACTTCCTGGTCTGGAAGTTCCAAACGTTCTTCAAATAAAAGAGAGAGAGAGAGATATTTAGATGTAATTATAACCAGGTATGCAATATCAATTAGGAAGCGATGAAGTGTAATCTCATTTAATATAGCATTTTCTGTTACTGCTTATACAAATTCAAGAGTAACATCTTCAGACACTTCATCGCCTGGATCTTACAAACGTTATTCAAATGAAAAGAGGAGGGACAGATATTTGGATTCAAATATAACCATGCGATTATGTGGAAGTATGCGATATCAATTAAGAATCAATAACGTTTGACATAATATGGCATTATTATGTTCTATTTTCTTTAGTCTGGAATAACAGTAGACGAAATAAAAATAACAATAAGAGTGCTGAATAGTGGCCTGCATCGTGCTACCTTCGACTGCCTCTTCGGTGATCTCTTCCACGATATCAATAGTGACCTGTTCAGGAGCTTCCTCAACTAGCGTTTCCACAACTTCCTCAACAGGGATTTCAACTTTAGGCTTCTTCTTTTTCTTGCCTTTCTTCTTGACAACCCTCGTGATCTCCACCTCTTCAATTCCTTCTGGAGTCTCTTCTTCAACTATTTCAACAACTATTTCCTCAGTGATTTCTTCCTCTGGCTTGAGCTCAATAATCTCTTGAGTGACGAACTCTTCTTCAATAGTCTCCTCCACTTCTTCGACAGGTTGAACGATCTCTAGTTGTATTTCTTCTTCGGTGAGATCTTTGGGCTTCTTCTTTTTACGTCTCCTTTTAGTAACCTTCGACTCAACTATCACTTCTGAATTAAGAAACATGTTTCAGTCAGTGGACAGATCACACTTCAGACACATGTATGAGCTTCAGATACCAGCAACGTCAAGCCACATAAGCATGAATTCAAAAACATTCATTACTAATGCAACTTGAGCAGAATATCTAAGCATATACATGTCTGAAGTACCTGTGCAATAACTTCAACAGCACTGGAATATGTTTCTCTCTGTGAAAGGTTCCTAGGTATAGTTAGCATGAATGGGAACTAGCGATAAATTACCTTCAGGTATCTCTTCTTCCAGTTGAACAATCTCAAGTGTGATCTCCTCAGGAATCTCCTCTTCAGGAACCTCTTCCACCTCCTCGACGGGGATTTCTGAAGAAGATAAATGAATATGCGTGCACTGAGTAGATGGCAATTATAATGAGACGGTTGCAAACCATCTACGAATATAGTTAAAACATGGCAGCACAAAATTGCACTGTTCTGAAACTTTCTTTTTCATGGCTACAATTTTACATGGCCGGAATGTTAATACATGGTGTGGCATTATGTATCAACATTTGCCACAAACCTTCAGGTTTCTTTGGCTTTTTCTTTTTCTTCTTCTTTTCAGTGACTGACGATAAAATAAGCATTGAAGCATGTCAGTAATAACTTACAAAACTCCCATAATAGTGAGCTAATATTCCACAACCACACGGAGGCATCATTTAAATATTTAAATACAAAGGGTATCTGCACTTGTATTAAGTTGACGTATAAGATAATTACCAACATTTAACACATTAAACTCTCATTTGATTTGAGATACTAAATTTACAATTTAATGTCATTTATCATAATATTTCCCTACATATACACAGTGAGCCATTACAATAAGGAATGGAGTTTATTATGTTATATTTGCTGTGGCGTGGAATAATGACAGAGATACCAGTGGCCTGCATCGTGCTACCTTCGACTGCCTCTTCGGTGATCTCTTCCACGACATCAATAGTGACCTCTTCAGGAGCTTCCTCAACTGGCATTTCCACAACTTCCTCAACAGGGATTTCAACTTTAGGCTTCTTCTTCTTCTTGCCTTTCTTCTTAACAACCCTCGTGATCTCCACCTCTTCAATTCCTTCTGGAGTCCTCTCTTCAACTATTTCAACGACTATTTCCGCGTGATTTTCCTCCGCTTAAGCTCAATAACCTCTTTGAGTGAAAAATTCTTCTTCGACAGTCTCTTTCCACTTCTTCGACAGGTTGAACGATCTCTAGTTTGTATTTCTTCTTCCGTGATATCTTTGGCTCTCTTTTTACGTCCCTTTATAACCTTCGACTCAACTATCACTTCTGAATTAAGAAACATGTTTCAGTCAGTGGACAGATCACACTTCAGACACATGGATGAGCTTCAGATACCAGCAACGTCAAGCCACATCAGCATGAATTCATATACATTCATTGCTAATGCAACTTGAGCAGAATACTAAGCATACATGTCTGAAGTACCTGTGCAATAACTTCAACAGCACTGAAATATGTTTCTCTCTGTGAAGGTTCATAGTTTATAGTTAGCATGAGTGGGAGCTACCAATAAATTACCTTCAGGTATCTCTTCTTCCAGTTGAACAACCTCAAGTGTGATCTCCTCAGGAATCTCCTCTTCAGGAACCTCTTCCACCTCCTCGACGGGGATTTCTGAAAAAGATAAATGAATATGCGTGCACTGAGTAGATAGCAATTATAATGAGACGGGTGCAAACCATCTACGAATATAGTTAAAACATGGCAGCACAAAATTGCACTGCACTGAAACTTTCGTTTTCATGGCTACTGTTTTACATGGCAAGAATGTTAATACATCGTGTGGCATTATGTATCAACATTTGCCTTTTTCCTTTTATTCTTCTTTTCATTGACTGGTGATAAAGTAAGCATTGAAACAATTTCAGTAATAAATGACAAAACTCCCATAATAGTGAGCTAATATTCCACACCACACGGCGGCATCATTTAAATATATAAATACATAGCGTATCTGCATTTAAATGAAGTTGACGTATAACATAATTACTCCCAACATTTAAAACAGTATACTCTCATTTGATTTGAGATACTAAATTAACAATTTAATGTCATTTCTCATAATATTTCCCTACATATACACAGTGAGCCATTACAATAAGGAATGGGGTGTATTATGTTATATTTGCTGCGGCGTGGAATAATGGCAGATATACTAGTGGCCTGCATCGTGCTACCTTCGACTGCCTCTTCGGTGATCTCTTCCACGACATCAATAGTGACCTCTTCAGGAGCTTCTTCAACTGGCATTTCCACAAATTCCTCAACAGGGATTTCAACTTTAGGCTTCTTCTTCTTGCCTTTCTTCTTGACAACCCTCGTAATCTCCACCTCTTCAATTCCTTCTGGAGTCTCTTCTTCAACTATTTCAATGACTATTTCCTCAGTGATTTCTTCCTCTGGCTTGAGCTCAATAATCTCTTGAGTGACGAACTCTTCTTCGACAGTCTCTTCTACTTCTTCCACAAGTTGAACCATCTCTAGTTGTATTTCTTCTTCAGTGAGATCTTTGGGCTTCTTCTTTTTACGCCTCTTTTTAGTAACTTTCGATTCGACTATCACTTCTGAATTAAGAAACATGTTTCAGTCAGTGGACAGATCACACTTCAGACACATGTATGAGCTTCAGATACCAGCAACGTCAAGCCACATCAGCATGAATTCATATACATTCATTGCTAATGCAACTTGAGCAGAATATCTAAGCATATACATGTCTGAAGTACCTGTGCAATAACTTCAACAGCACATATGTGCAAACATATACAAAGCGTATCTGTACTTATATTAAGTTGACAGTATAACACAATTACTTCCAACATTTAATACATTAAACTCTCATTTGATTTGAGATACAAAATACAATTTAATGTCACTTATCATAATATTGTTCTACATAATTATACACAGTGAGCCTGTACAATAAGGAATGGAGTTTATCATGTTATATTAGTTGTGGCGTGGAATAATGGCAGGGATACTAGTGGCCTGCATCGTGCTACCTTCAACTGCCTCTTTGGTGATCTCTTCCACGAGATCAATAGTGACCTCTTCAGGAGCTTCTTCAACTGGCATTTCCACAACTTCCTCAACAGGAATTTCAACCTTAGGCTTCTTTGTCTTCTTGGTCTTCTTCTTGACAACCCTCGTGATCTCAACCTCTTCAATTCCTTCTGGAGTCTCNTGCATCATCTCATGCTATGTGCATGCCATGAAATACTGTTACAATGATGGCTGCGCTCTAAAGATGTCTCTTTTCAAAATGACGTTTTGAAACAATTGCCTATTAAAACAATTCAATCAGCTGCAATGAAAAGATTCTACGCCCCTCATTAAGGCCAGGAACCAACTAAGTGACTGATTACTTTCTGGTGCTCTTCTTCAGTCTGAACAACCTCAAGTGTGATCCTCCTCAGGAGCCTCCTCCTCTGGTGCCTTCTTCACCTCTCTCAACGGGACTTCTATAGAAGACATTGAGAATAAGTATGAGCTATGGACAATACATGCCTCCTGAAATGACTCATGAAATAATTGCCTTATATACCAACACACCGTTAGTAAAAATATACGAACCTCATTACAATAGGTAAATACATATACACATCGAGAATGTTCAATAACATAATGTGGCAGTATGTATCAACATCTGCCACAAACCCATTCAGGTTTCTTTGGCTTTTTCTGCTTCTTTCTTTTCAATAACCTAATAATAAAACAATCCCTGGATCAGGTCAGCAATTGCTTATAACATTCAGCGAAAAATGAGCAATCCGTCTCTAGTTGCACTGACACGTTTTGGTACGAAAATGTCCTATGATAACCAAAATCGCTTTTGCAAAAAAAGATGACAATTTTAGTATAATTCCACATTGTTATGCAAAAATTAAAACAAAATTCGAAAGATTTAAATGCAAAAACTATATTAATAATTTCAAAACTATGAGGCACTGCGAATGCTTCTTAGCTGATCCAACTAGGACTGCTTGCAGACTGATGCAACATTGTTAAATTCTTCAATTTCTTCAGAAGCGACAAAGATTATCAGGTATAAAATACAAAGTTTATAGCATTTCATCTGAGACACTTGATATGACTACTACTAACAATTGCCATGCAAGAATGTGTGGAAAAAGGGTTTCAAAACTGTTAGTAAGCCTGGCTTAATGCGACTTCGGTACTCTCGCTTCCTCTCAGGAACCTCTTCTACAATTCTCAAGAATGACCTCCTCAGGGCAGTTTTCTTCACCGGCACTTCCACAACTTCTTATCACACAGGAATCTACACCCTTAGGCCTTCTTTGTCTTCTTGTCTTCTTCCTTGACACCTCGTGATCTCAACCTTTCAATTTCCTTCTGAGAGTCTCGTGCTTCAACTATTTCAACGGACTATTTCCTAGTGATTTCTCTCCTCTGGCTTGAGCCTCAATAATCTCTTGGAGTGACGAACTCTTCTTCGACAGTTCTCATTCTACTTCTTCCAAGTTGAACCATGCTCTAGTTGTATTTCTTCTCAGCGAGATCTTTGGAGCGTTCTTCTTTTTACCGCCTCTTTTTTAACTTTCCGATTCAAACCTATCACTTCATGAATTACAGAAACATGTTTTCAGTCAGTGGACATCACACTTCAGACATCATGTATGCAGTTCAAGATACAAGCAACGTCACGCCACATCCAGCCATGCATTCTTATACATTCATGCTAAGCAACTTGAGAGAAATATCGAAGCACTTACACTGTCAGAAGTACCTGCCGCAATAAACTTCAACAGCACAATATGTGCAAACATTACTACCAAAGCGTATCTTACTTATATTAAGTTGACAGATAAACACAATTACTAGTCCAACATTTAATACAATTAAAACTCTGCATTTGATTTGAGATTACAAATACATTTAATGTCACTTATCATAATATTGTTCTAATAATTATACAAGGTGAGCTGTACAATAAGGAATGGAGTTTACTCATGTTATATATATTGTCGGCGTGGCGGAATAACCTGGCAGGGATACTAGTGGCCCTGCATCGTGCTACCTTCATACTGCCTCTTTGGTGATCTTTCACGAGATCGAATAGTGACCTCTTAAGGAGCTTCTTCAACTGGCATTCCACAACTTCCTCCAACAGGAATTTCAGAACCTTAGGCTCTTGTTTCTTGGTCTTCTTCTTCGACAACCCTCGTTGATCGTCAACGCTCTTCAAGTCCTTGCTGGAGTCTCGTCTTCACACTATTTCAACAACTATTTCCTCGTGATTTCTTCTCGGCTTGAGCTCAATAACCTCTTTGTGTTACAAACTCTTCTTCAACAGTCCTATCCACTTTTGACAGGTTTGAACCAGTCTCTAGTTGTATTTCTTCTTCAGCTGAGATCTTTGGGCTTCTTCTTTTTACGACCTCTATTTTGAGTAACCTTTCGACTCAACTACTCATTCTGAATTAAGGAAACATAGTTTCAGTCATGTGGACGATCTCACTTCAGACATGTGGATGAGCATTCAGATACTCAGTAACATCAAGCTACATCAAGCATGAATGTAAAAACACTCCATCACTAATGCAACTCAGCAGAATATCTAAGCCATATACATGTCTGAAGACACCTGTGTACAATAACCTCTGCCAGCACTTTGAAACTTGTTTCTTGATTAAATTAGTATTCTTGAGTTACCATATTCACAATAACGAACTTAGTGATTACCTTCTAGCTTCTCTCTTCCAGTTGAACAACGCAGTGTGATCTCCCAGGAGCCTCCTCTTCTGGTACCTCTTCCACCTCCTCAACTGGGACTTCTGAAAGTGACAAATATGTACACTCACATTTAATTTTAAGAGCAAACAAAAATTATCCCTATACATGGAGCTACCTATGAAGAAACAGAGTATGTGGAAGAGGACTTTTAAATCAATGCAAAACGTTCTGCAACTCAGGCCCAGGCCCAATGTGTAATACATTTCGTGGCGCAGCTATGTTTAACCATCTACCACAAACCTTTGCGGTATTCTTAGGCGTCTTCCTTTTCTTTTTCACAACTCTGGTGATCTCAACTCTATCAATCCCTTCTGGAGTCACTTCCTCAACAATTTCAACAACAATGATCTTCCGCCTGATCTCTTCCTTCCCGCGCGTGAGCTTCAATGACTCTTGTGCTAATGAACTCTTCTTCAACTGTTCCTGATTCCTTCTTCGACAGGGTCTACCACCTCAAGCTGCAATTCCCTCATTGCTTCTTTTGGTTCTTCTTACTTTTTGCGTCGCTTTTTAGTGTACTTCGATAACTATTACTGTCTGTTATAGGAAATGTATTTCCATCAGTGACCAGAAGAAAATTCACGAACACGTGCAAGCTTCAGATACCATATGCATATCTGAGCTAGTGCATGCATGAAATAACTGTACAATGATGGCTGCGCTCATAAAGATGTCTCTTTTCAAAATTGACGTTTTGAAACAATTGCCTATTAAAACAATTCAATCAGCTGCAATGAAAAGATCTTGCCCCTCAATCAGGCCAAAAAACCAACAGTGATTACCTTCTAGTTTCTCCTCTTCCAGTTGAACAACCTCAAGTGTGATCTCCTCAGGAGCCTCCTCCTCTGGTGCCTCTTCAACCTCCTCAACCGGGACTTCTATAGAAAACATTTGAGAATAAGTATGAGTAATGGAAAATACATGCCTCCTGAAATGACCTCATGAAAGATAATGCCTTATATAACAACACACCGTTATATAAATATAGAACCTATCTACAATAGGCAAATAATATACACATCGAGAATGTTAATACATAATGTGGCAGTATGTATCAACATCTGCCACAAACCTTCAGGTTTCTTTGGCTTTTTCTTCTTCTTCTTCTTTTCAATAACTGATAATAAAACAATCCCTGGATCAGGTCAGCAATTGCTTATAACATTCAGCGAAAAATGAGCAATCCGTCTCTACCAAAATCGCTTTTGCAAAAAAAGATGACAATTTTAGTATAATTCCACATTGCCTATGCAAAAATCAAAACAAAATCAGAAAGATTTAAATGCAAAAATATATTAATAATTCAAAACTATGAGGACTGCTATGCTTAGCTCACTCCAACTAGACTGCTTGCAGGACTGATGCAACATTGTAAATTTCTTCACATTTCTTCCAGAAAAGACGAAAATTATCATTATAAAATACAAAAGTTTATAGATTTCATCTGCAGACACATTGATATGACTACTACTAGCAATTGCATGCAAGAATGTGTGGAAGAAATTCAAAAATGTTATTAGCCTGCTTAATGCTACCTTCGACTGCCTCCTCAGGAACCTCTTCTACAATCTCAAGAATGACTTCCTCAGGAGCTTCTTCAACTGGGACTTCCACAACTTCCTCAACAGGAATTTCAACCTTAGGCTTCTTTGTCTTCTTGGTCTTCTTCTTGACAACCCTCGTGATCTCAACCTCTTCAATTCCTTCTGGAGTCTCTTCTTCAACTATTTCAACGACTATTTCCTCGGTGATTTCTTCCTCCGGCTTGAGCTCAATAACCTCTTGAGTGACAAACTCTTCTTCGACAGTCTCTTCCACTTCTTCGACAGGTTGAACCATCTCTAGTTGTATTTCTTCTTCAGTGAGATCTTTGGGCTTCTTCTTTTTACGCCTCTTTTTAGTAACCTTCGACTCAACTATCACTTCTGAATTAAGAAACATGTTTCAGTCAGTGGACAGATCACACTTCAGACATATGTATGAGCTTCAGATATCAGCAACATCAAGCTACATCAGCATGAATGTAAAAACATTCATCACTAATGCAACTCAAGCAGAATATCTAAGCATAAACATGTCTGAAATACCTGTACAATAACCTCTGCAGCATTGAAACTTGTTTCTTATTAAATAGTATTCTTGGTTACAATTACAATAACGAACTAGTGATTACCTTCTAGTTTCTCCTCTTCCAGTTGAACAACCTCCAGTGTGATCTCCTCAGGAGCCTCCTCTTCTGGTACCTCTTCCACCTCCTCAACTGGGACTTCTGAAGGTGACAAATATGTACACTCACATTTTATTAAGAGCAAAACAAAAATTATCCCGTATACATGGAGCTACTTGAGAAGAAACAGGTATGTGGAAAGAGGAACTTATATCAATGCAAAACGTTCGCAACATCAGCCCAGGCCCAATGTTAATACATTTTGTGGCAGTATGTATTAACATCTGCCACAAACCTTTGGGTTTCTTAGGCTTCTTCCTTTTCTTTTTCACAACTCTGGTGATCTCAACCTCTTCAATCCCTTCTGGAGTCACTTCCTCAACAATTTCAACAACAATGTCTTCCGTGATCTCTTCCTCCGCGGTGAGTTCAATGACTTCTTGTGTAATGAACTCTTCTTCAACTGTTTCCTGTTCTTCTTCGACAGGCTCTACCACCTCAAGCTGCAATTCCTCCTCAGTGCGCTCTTTTGGTTTCTTCTTTTTGCGTCGCTTTTTAGTGACCTTCGACTCAACTATTACTTCTGTTATAGGAAATGTATTTCCATCAGTGACCAGAAGAAAATTCACGAACACGTGCAAGCTTCAGATACCATATGCATATCTGAGCTAGTGCATGCATGAAATAACTGTACAATGATGGCTGCGCTCATAAAGATGTCTCTTTTCAAAATTGATGTTTTGAAACAATTAGCTATTGAAACAAATCAATCAGCTGCAATGAAATGATCATGCCCCTCAATTAGGCCAGGAAACCAACAGGGATTACCTTCTGGTTGCTCTTCTTCCAGTTGAACAACCTCAAGTGTGATCTCCTCAGGAGCCTCCTCCTCTGGTGCCTCTTCGACTTCCTCAACCGGGACTTCTATAGAAGAAAATTAAGCAGATCAATATTTGTGCAAGAATATGACGTGAATTGCGTTTTACAATGAACTGTTCAAGACATAATCTGGAGGACTTATGGTTTCATTCAAAGCTATTTTCATCATTAGGCTCACATTTACAATAAAATATTTAGCAAATATTATGTGTAACACTGCATAACAATATGTAGCAAAACAAACCTTCAGGTTTCTTTGGCTTTTTCTTTTTCTTCTTCTTTTCAACAACTGGCAACAACAAAAAACAGTATGACGTCACAATATCAAGCATTAAAATCACTACTTTTATCTAGTCACATGTCACCTAATTCCTGGATCAACACCTCTTTGGATCTATTCTCTGTTACCAACTAACATGCAAGGCTACTTCAAATTCCCTTTGAAAAGTATCCAAACATTTGAACATTATCTGCACTCTAATTGTATACATGTTAATTGTATAACATTAATATCATATATGTCCTATGTCTCTCTGCGTGCCTATGCATGTGTACATGTATGCATGCTTGCTTTCGTGTATGGGTGAGAGTATGTCAGAGAGAGAAAGAAGAAGTTCAAAAGTGTTTTTCCATGTATGCTTGCCAGTGCCTGCATGTGTATTTTGTATTTTGGTGCATGTGTGTGTGTGTGTCTACGTGCATGCATATGTGCGTGCATGAGTGCGTGCATGCGTGTTTGTGTGTGTGCGCATAAATGTATTTACGCATGAGTGTGTATACATGAAAGTGTACCTGTGTGCGCTTGCACGTGTTGTGTGTGCATTAGTGCCTGCATGATGCATGCATAAATTTGCAATGTTTAATGTGCTTGCTAATTAAAAATTGCCCATCCTTATTGCCTAAAAAATACAGCATTTTCCTTGTTTAGTCTAAAGATAACTCTCTTAGCCTTTTCATTCTATACAAAATTAAAAATCTCCTGAAACATAGCTCCCTATTTTATTTGTGTAAATTCCTAAAATCCATGTTTGTTACATACCAAATATAACATATTACCCCATAATTAAAAGATGAGCCTTAATAAAGTCACTCAATATATATCCCATATTTATTTGCAGCAAAAATTCTTTAGCATTACCATTACCTTCAGGGTGGAGTTTGTCCTCTTCTTCCTCAACTTCGACAATATCATCAACTGCAATTAATTTTACTGTTAGATATAAATAAAATGTTTTCATACTATATAATGCAATCTACTATTGTTATAATCACTTCATCCAAGAATAATGATCTTAGTATACATATGTTGCAAAACTTGCAAAGCCATTTGATTTTAATATTTTCTTAATACTGGTTTAAGTTTTACAGTTTTAATTACTGACGGTTTTAGTTATACTGACAGTTTTAATTAAGATTGTCTCCAAGGGGTTTAATACTATGTTTGAGATTAATACACTTGACCTTCTGTGTGGTAGGAACAGTACGTGTTATTAGGTACTTTTCGAGTTTAACCTTCGTTAGGCTTATGATTTATACTTCTGCTTAACTCTTTAACTAAGTGTTATACACATGCATGCATTTATAGTGACCATACTTGGCACAAACAAGGATGCAGATGCCGTATCCTCCCCAACAGGGTTTTCAGCTTTACACCAATAGGTTCCCTGGTCATCGGAATAGACGTGAATGATCTCTAAGGTAGCAGTATTTTCCTCGTACGTAATGACAAAGTCCTTGGATGGCTGCAACTCTATGGTTTCTACAAACCATTTGATAGTGGGTCTTGGATAGCCAGTAACCTAATAATTGAGCAAATATTACTGAAGTAACATAGAGACACGTTTATAAAGTAATGTACAATACATTAACTAATACAACAGAGATAGATTGAGAGCAATTGCCGCATAATGGTTGCTTGATCTTGTCATTGAAATTACACTTTTACCTCATTATTGGATCACAATTTCAAGAAGCCAGTATTACAGGCAGCAAACAAAAGATCACAAAAATGACAACTATAATTGCTATTCAATCCAAACACATCGCCGGCCACATTATTTAATCTTTTAATTCGCAATACAATAGTATTGCAATAGTACAGTAATTCAACGCCGTACAGTAATTTTAGAGGGTCTGACGAGTGTTATAATCCATTATACATGGCAAAATCTAAAATATCCTCATGGCATTATAGATATCATCATGCATTGGGTTAGCTGGAGACCATAAAACAGGGCAAAAGTGTTTACTCACTTGCGTAGTAAATCGAGCCACATCAGCTTCATTCCTGGTAATGTCAGTCATAGGCGTTAACTTTGGTGCTTCATCTGCAATGATTTAAAGAGATATCCACCTCAAAGCAATGCACGAATCTTTGGGAGAAACAATTTTCGCTGACATTTTCACAATATTCACTGTAAATATTTGGGAGATGAAACCCCATTGTGGGTTGTAAGTTGTTATATCTCCCTGAGACACATCAGACACTCACTGAAAAAGAAAAATCTATATCAATAGAATAATCTTGGCATAACCCTACGTATGATGCTAATACATATTGTGGCAGTATGCATTAACATCTGCCACAAACCTTCTGGTTTCTTGGGCTTCTTCTTTTTCTTCTTTTTGCTAATCACCTTTGTGATTTCTACTTCTGGAAAAAAAGTACAACAAGATCTGCCATGAAATAAATAACATACTAAATGAGTTGACAAAAATCATTTGATAGCAGCTAAGTTTTGCCAACACTGTCTTGCAATGATAGTATAAAAGATAATACTAATGATCGATATACACAGAAAGTATCACAACAGAAAGCAACAACAAACCTTCAATTACACAACAAAACAGGACAATAACAAACCTTCTGGTCCTTCTGGTGTCATTTCAATTATTGTCTCAGTGATATGGCTTTCGGTTTCTTCAGGAACTTCTTCCTCAGTTTTGAACTCCACAACTTCTGTTGTTACAAACTCCTCTATTGTCTCTTCAACTTCCTCAACAGGTTCTACTGCCTCCACATGCAACTCATCTTCTTCTTTTGTTACCACCTTTGGCTTCTTCTTCCTTTTCTTCGTCACCTTGGTCTCAACCACAATTTCTGCATAGAAACGTTCTTTCAGTAATACAATGCCTTCCCGTCAATGCAGAAGCTTGCTATGCAGCAGCATAATAGTACACCAATTGACCTGATGTCCATATGCAATACATAGAAACTACTGCATTGATTCGAGAATATATTACTAATAGATGTTGTCACAGGTGTGTAATTACACAAAACTAGCCCTAAGAGTTTCCATAGTTAAACACCTTAAACCGTTTTTGATTGCAGACTTGTCATGTGTACCAAGAACAACTTTTAAACTCGAAGTTGACGTAATAGTCCGGTGACTCGAGATCCTAATATAGGTCGGCAGATTTATTCATAACGAATAACTAATGACTAATACATATTTCCATTTTCTTGGGCTTCCCCAATCAGATGGGTTAGTATGCACCATGCTATCTGGCTAGTTGTTGACCTTACCCTCTGAAACCTCTTCCTTTTGCTCCTGTACTACTTCTAAAATTACTTCTTTTGGTGCCTCCTCTTCTGGTGCCTCTTCAATCTCCTCAATAGGAATTTCTTAAAATAATTGAGTTAATCAAATATATGAGATGTTAAAACAATAATAATTCATGTTACATAAGAAAATAAAGGAAGCAACTGCATATAAAAATTATACATTGCAGTACAGAAATTATTACAATATTAGACCCAACTTGTAGCAATAATGTATAATTGCCTTCATGTCCGGATTTATATTGCAAATTATTTCAGAGGTAGAAATCACAAAGGTGATTAGCAAAAAGAAGAAAAAGAAGAAGCCCAAGAAACCTGAAGGTTTGTGGCAGATGTTGATGCATACTGCCACAATATGTATTAGCATCAGTAATATAATGAACCACATGAGAACTTGATCTTTAATAGGTTTTTCTGAAGCACCCGATTGGAGGAAAGTCAAGCCATGTTAACTGTTTCTGGCATAACCTGAAACACACAACGGGCTTGTCAAGGACATGATCAATAAATATTAAAGTTACACAACATAACAGAACAATAACAAACCTTCAGGTCCTTCTGGTGTCATTTCAATTATTGTCTCAGTGATATGGGTTTCGGTTTCCTCAGGACCCTCTTCCTCAGTTTTGAACTCCACAACTTCTGTTGTTACAAACTCCTCTATTGTCTCTTCAACTTCCTCGACAGGTTCTACTGCCTCCACATGCAATTCATCTTCTTCTTTTGTTACCACCTTTGGCTTCTTCTTCCTTTTCTTCGTCACCTTGGTCTCAACCACAATTTCTGCATTAAAACACCTTCAGTAAAGCAACACTTCCTCTGCAGTGCAGAGTGTGCTATGCATGAACATATATACATCAGTTCTTTAGATGTACATATGCAATGCACAACAGCTATACACTGATGAGATGGATTCTACTGATAGGTGAGGTTTTTACGTTTCTATAAACTGTTTAGTTTGTATAGATTTTAAACATTTGTAGCACGAATAATACTTAGAAGAAAAACAAAATTTTTATCAATATGCAAGCCCCAGCACTCATCATCATGTGATGCCATATATCAACATAAATATGTAGATATGCAAGCATATTCATGATAATTATAATACAGGTGGCAGTAGCAAAATACATGAACACATACATACAGCAATATCTACTTAGTATGGCTATAGTATAATATAGTGTAATGTATATCGGTTACAGCATACCAAACATATAGACAACATTTCATTGGATAGCTGTCTCAGACAATATTAACACTACAAACCTTCTTCGTTTGGCTTCAACTCCGAGATTTCAATGGTAACAGGTTCGAGGCCTTCCTCACTTATCACTCTCTCATGAGTAACTTCATCTACAATTAACTCTTCAACCGTTTCAGTAATTTCTTCAACTGGAAGGAAAATGTAATCTATGATTGATACACGACCCGTAAATCTATTATAGCTAGAGCATTCATACTCTATGTTTCAAATCTATATTCTTCCAACGTGGAGTGCCATTATCTGCTGATGAGGGATCTTGGCCTACACACTATTTATTCACACTGGCCTAGCTGACCACTCTCTCTTACCTTTAATTAGTTACTGCTGCCATACTAAAATGAATAAATAATAATCAACTTACTTGGCACAAAAAGTTTGGCGAACACAGTGTCTTCTCCAACTGTGTTATGGGCCGTGCAGTAGTAGGTTCCCTGATCAACTGGGTACACGTGAGTGATCACAAGTGTAGCTACATTGTCCTCAAATTTGATGACAAAGTCTTTTGATGGCTGCAACTCAATGGTTTCTACAAACCATCTAATAGTTGGAGTTGGGTAGCCCGTTACCTAGAAACAATGTGGTTTTCTAGTCTCATTATCTATAGAAGATTGAATTGCTATGTGATCACAAAACTCGTCAGTTAGACCTCTATCAGAAGAAGATAACGTAATCATCTCAAATTTATTCAAGCATCGTACACCCTTTTAAATATGTAGCCAAGTAGCTGTGTTATTTGCACGATTTCTGGTAGCTAGACTATACAAAATTGCGGATGCTAGCACTTTTCTCTGACATGACTGAACCAACACTCACGTGAGTTGTGAAGCGAACCTCTTCACCCTCAGGTTTGGTAACATCAGGCATTGGTGTTAGTTTAGGAGCCTCCTCTGGGGTTTCTACAAGATTGACCAATATAAGCTTGGTTAGTTTACTCTACCTTCTGGATACCTATATATTAATATGAGTGCTAATCTTTTCTGATTACCAGCAGACACTATTATTTTGCAATATATTTTTCAATAACGTGTTTTAACATGAGTGCTATATACATGTGAATGCATACAAGCACATACACATGTATCAACACATCACACAGATATTCTGCCTGCTTTGGTTTTTTCTCCTTCTTCTTCCTTTTTTCAGTAACTGAAACATTAATAGCTTTAATTGTGAATCGAACACCAACACGTTTCATTAGTTCACACCCAATAAAAAATGTTAAGGAATGTAGAATTTGTAATTACCCTCTGGTTGGACTTCTTCAATGACTTCCTCTTCCTCTAGCACTTCTGTAACTTCTGTAAGATAGATACCAACAAGAATGGTAGACCCGATTTGTCCAATAGTAAATTCTTCACAAATGGAATATATGTATTAAATTTGTTTTTAGTGATACATGGTTAATCATTGCAACACAGGCATGCATGCCAATTGTGTAGATTGATGCCTTTTATGAGAATAAGAGCAATAAAATTCTATTTACTAATCAATTTTAAACAGTCTACACAACAAAATCCGAGGATTACGCGTGCATCACATATTTCAGCTAAAAGTGACATACTGTTTAAACCGCAAGATTTACTCTTTCAAAGATTTAATATTTGCAAGAATGGTAATAGTTGTTTCACATTAGTCATACTTGCAGGAATAGTGATAGTTGAACTGATATGAGTCACATGCACATAATTATGAGGCCCTTTCAGCGTGTTGATGTGTTCGGTGTGTGTGATTAAACCCACTAAGAAACACACGGTCACTAATCAAAATGAAAAACGCACACAAGTGGCATACACTATGCATGACTGCATTTGTGAATGATTATGTCACAATAAACATAAGTCATAGCTGCATTTAGATTGAATAGACCCGATTTCAACTATAAACGGTCAACCCTAGCTTCTTTCAATTGTTCCAGTTGAATCCTCGTGTTAGGATTTCCTAGTTTGCATTACCATTTTCTAATATTTTTCCACTAGGCATACTGTTGATCTGCCACTCGATCACTCTTTGTTAACATTATAACAGATTTACCTTTGAAATTATTTAAAAATTGAATTACCAAGTCATTGATCCAGCCACTAGGTTTAAATAGGTCAATATATAATTCCTGAAGCTTCTTCTGATATAACATCTATTGCTATAGTTATATACAAAAGAATTTAAACTTTAAGCTTATTCTACTTTTGGATATTAGATCAATGCATTCACATTGAGTTTACGAATATGAAAACATGCATGGAATGCAAAAACATGCATATATGGAGCAATCACAACACATGATGGCAGGGCAACAGGGTATGGGTGAAAAACAACTTCCACTATTGTTAATAAAAGGAGTTCTCTGCTCTCTATTCTACACGTGGTGAACACAAACCTTCAGGTATATCATCACTAGGGACCTCTTCGAATGTCACTGAGGTTTCCATGTGAATTGGAACCACTCTGATGTCACTCGGCAACTCTATAATAGGCTGCCTCTGAAAGCCCACTTCCTCCTCAGTAACTTCCTCTTCAGTTACTTCTGTGATCATCATTGCAGCTTTCTTATGTTCTATTTCTTCAACCTTTTTAGTAATAGTAATTTCTGCCATTGATGTTTCAATAGTTACTGGAACATCCTCTTCCTCTGCAGGGACCTCCTCTTCTGTTATGACTGTCACTTCTGTTGGGCAAGAGACAATCTTATGAGCCTCTGCTCATCATAAACGTTAACACAATTTTCATTGTTCAACTGCAAAGAAATGCTTCCTTTGGATTAGGGGATATCATCCATTATCCAATGTAGTGTGTGCCTTTGGTTAGTACATTTTAACACACATATCTAATCTAATCTTACAAGCAGCATTAACATTGGTGGAGCCCACAGATTCTGTGGCGCAGGATAATGGGTGAAAGGGAATGACTGGTGGGAAGCACAAACTGAAGGAAAATGATAACGCAGCTATATTCTTGCAAAAGCAATTATGCACAGTGTTCACAGCAACATTTCTACACTTTTGGTCACACTCAAACCAAAATCGCAAGAAACACCAACCTTCAGGCACTTCCTCTTTTGGTTCTTCAAGTGTTATCTCGGCTATTTCTTTCGTGGTCCTCTTCTTTTTCTTTTTCACTACCTTCGTTGTGTCCACGACTATTTCTAAAAATGTTATGTATATCAGATTAATTAAAACCCTATATAAATGTACTGTCCCTGTGAAAATTAGACGTTAATGATGACGATAAACAATGCAATTCAGATTCAATAATTTAGACACATATCTCAGATATCTCATCCCAGTATCACAATATGTTTATCACATATAAACATCTTGTTTGAGCCCACTTATTATCATTTATCATGATATCTCATATATTATTTATAACTGATCAATATATGAGATATCATGATAAATGTTAAGAAGTGGGCTCAAACAAGATGTTTATATGTGATATATGGTGAAATCATTTGCTTTATCCAATCGATTGCCTTTATGACACAAACTAAGAATTCAGGAGAAAAGAAACAGGAGAAGGAACACAAGAAGAGACACACAGTATAGCAATTCAATGTCTAAATGATGTTCATGCACCTATAAGTAAAGGAAATATCCAACTATCTCTACTTGAGTAACACAAACCTTCCTCCACAACTTCCTCTGGTTTTGTGAACTCTATAACCATCTCAACACGTTCTTCATGTACTTCCTCTACTTCAATGACTTCCTCTGGCTGAAGCACCAGTTCAGGTTGAGGAATCTCCTCAGGAGTTTCTTCTGGTTGTTCAACTTCTATCACCATCTCAACCGTCTCTTCAAGAACCTCTTCTACAGGAATTTCCTCTACCGTAACAACCTCCTCTACTGGCACCTCTTCCTTAGGCTTCTTCTTCTTCTTAGGCTTCTTAGTTACTATAACAACACCATGCAAGGCAATCATCAGACAATGTCAGCACAACTCAAATACATCCACCAGTAACAGAACTAGTGAATCTAACATGAGTTGCTAAATGCTATTATGTCCAAATGATTTCCTTCATCACATTAACTAAGGGTTTAGGAGAAAACAAAGAGAAAATGGATAACAAGATGCTCATTGAAAAAATTGCATGCATAAAAGACATTAACACATACTACTGAAATACATGTCACTAATTTTCAATAGGAAAACACAAACCTTCCCCACACTTTCCTCTGGTTTTGGTGAATCTATAACCGTATTTCAACACGTTCTTCGATGACTGTCCTCTACTGTCAACTGACTTGCCTCTGGCCTGAGGCACAGTTTCAGGTTGCACGAATCCTCGGAGATTCTCTGTTTTCACCTCGTATCACCATCTCAACCCTCTCTTCAAAAAACTTCCTCTAGCAAGAGTGTTCCTCACCGGAACAACCTCCTCTACTGGCACCTCTTCCTTAGGGCTTCTTCTTCGTTCGTCTTAGGCTTCTCAGTTAACATAACACCCATGCAAGGCAATCATCAGACAATGTCAAGCCAGCAACTCAAATACAGCCACCAGTAACTGGCACTGGTAAATGTATTATATTGTTGAAACATGCTGTTTTATCCAATCGAATTGCCAAGTTATGACACCCAACTGAAGAATTTAGCAAAAAAGAGAAAACAGAGAGGATAATACACGAAAAGACATCAATACCCCCTACACAGTATTAGCGGCAATTTAATGTCATAATGACGTTCGATGCACCGATCAAGTGTAAGGACATAGCCAATTATTCTACGTGAGGAACACAAGACCTTTCGCTCCTACACTTCCTGCTGGTTTTGTGGAACTCTATACCACGCATCTCACCGCGTTCTTTCATGTACTTCCGCTTCTTCAATGACCTGCCTCTGCTGAGGCACTCAGTTCAGGTTGAGGAATGCTCTTCGAAAGAGTTGCCTCTGGTTGTTCAACCTTCTATCCATCCTCAACCGCTCTCATTCATGAACCTCCTCAAACAGGAATTCCTCTACCGTAACAACCTCTCTAGCTGGCACCTCTTCTCTTTCAGGCTATTCGTATTCTCTTTCTTGCTTCTTAGCGCTTCTCAGTAATCTATAACATACACCAGCAAGCAATCATGATATCTCAGGTTACAGTCGCACTTAACTCAAATTACATCCAGCCAGTAACAGAACTAGTGTAATCTAACATGAGTTGCTAAATGCTATTATGTCCAAATGATTTCCTTCATCACATTAACTAAGGGTTAAGAAAACAAAGAGAAAATGGAATAACAAATAGCTCATTGAAAAAAAGTTGCAGTGGCATTAAAGACATTTAACACATACTACTAGAAATAATCATGTCACAATTTTTCAATAGGAAACACCACCTTACCGTCGCACATACTCCTGCTGGTTTTGTGGAATAATCTAATATACGCATCTTCAACACGTTCTTCATGTACTTCCTCTACTTCAATGACTAGAATTAATGACTTCCTCTGGTGAAGCACCCAGTTCAGGTTGAGGAATCTCCTCAGGGAGTTTCTATCCTGGTTGTGTTTTTCAACCTCTAATCACCATCTGCTACCCGTACCTCTTCATAGAACCTGACCAGGTTTTCCTCTAACAAGCGTTTACCTCAAGCAGTTATAACACCTCCTCCTACTGGGCCCATTGCATCCTTTGGCTTCCTTCTTTTTCCTCTTTTTCGTACGTTTCTCAAATAATACAACAGCAATGCAAGGCAATCTAATAGACAATGTTCGAGGCACAACGTCATATACAGCCCCACCAAGTAAACTGCACTGGTAAATGTATATATGTGTGAAAACAGCTGCTTTATCCAATCGATTGCCTTTATGTGCACTCAGACTAACGAATTTAGCAGAATAAGAACAGGAGAGGCAATACACGAAAGAACACGAGTAGAGAGCAATTTAATGTCTAATGATACGTCATTGGCAGCCTATTAAGGTAAAGGAAATATCCAACTATCGTCTACTTGAGTAACACAAACCTTCCTCCACAACTTCTCTGGTTTTGTGAACTCTCTATAACTCATCCTCAAACAAGAGCAGCGTTCTTTCATGTACTTCCCTCTCTTCAGATGACTTCCCTGCCTGAAGCTACACCAGTTCAAGGTTGAGGAATCTCCTCGAGTTTCTTCTTGTGGTTGTTCAGTATGTTAAACAACGCTCTTATCATCCATCTTCTCCCTCTCTTCATGAAACTTCCTCTACAAGGAGTTTCCTCTACCGGAACAACCTCCTCTAAGCTGCACCTCTCCTTAGCTTCTTCTTTCTTCTTCAGCGGCTTCTCAGTAACTTATAACAACACCATGCAAGGCATATCATCAGACAATGTCAAGACAACTCAAATCATCACGCAAGTGACAGAGAATAGTGAATCTAACATGATTTGCCTAAATAATCCTAGTGCTATTATGCGTCGCCCCAATGATTTCTTCATCACTTAACCTAAGGTTGTAAGAGAAAAACAAAGAGAAATGGAAATACAAGATCTCCTTGATAATGAAGAGTTCAATGAACACCGCACGTAACTCACTCCAAAAAAGGAACACAAGATGCAGTGAGTAAGCAAAGAGAGTTCAGTTTTAATTGACAACCATCGACGTACTTATAGGAATGATTGCCATATTCTGTCATATCGAATAATAATTATAAGACCTTAAAAATGACATCACATTTGTGACCGTAGATGGTGCTATAACCCGCCTTTGGTAGCGATGCCTTGAAATAAATAGGTTATGCTGTGTTCGCGCGGACATGTTGTAAATCTTTATCCCTTAATAAGACGTTTAAATTATCGGCAGAGTGAGGAGGAAATAATTTAATAAAATAATTATAAACCAATTTTGGGTGGCTAAAAAAGATTGTTCAATGATAATCTGTAAAACGAACCAGACGAGTGTGTACTACCACAGACGTTATGTGTTTATATAATTATTCTAATAATAATTGCCAAACTTCTACCGTAATTTGCAAATAAAATTTTCTTTTTTTTTTTTTTTGTTTTTTTTGTTTAAATTCAAAACCGACCCGAATAAAACCACCGCCCTACCCTTATTCATTCACATACCAAAAATGGAGCAAAATTCGTTGGAACCTGACTGTGACTAAAATGGATTCTCCGCTCTCCCCCATTTTGCCAATTGCCGTGGCTGCGGAAAGTACGTCGGACTGGCGTGGCTCAAAATGGACGGTTCCATATGGGAGCGATAGCAAGTAACAACTACACACCTACATTCTTTTTCCAATTTCAAGAACATTGTGGGTCAAACTTTTTCCTGATTATCAGTTGATGACCGAAACCAAATGTTGATGGACTGACGGACGGACGGACGGACGGACGGACGGACGGACGACGGACGACGACCCATGGCAATAGCTCAACTTGACTATGTCAAAGTGAGCTAAAAATTGCATGCATAAAAGACATTAACACATACTACTGAAATACATGTCACTAATTTTCAATAGGAAAACACAAACCTTCCTCCACAACTTCCTCTGTTTTTGTGAATTCTATAACCATTTCAACACGTTCTTCATGTACTTCCTCTACTTCAATGACTTCCTCTGGCTGAGGCACCAGTTCAGGTTGAGGAATCTCCTCAGGAGATTCTTCTGGTTGTTCAACCTCTATCACCATCTCAACCTTCTCTTCAAGAACTTCCTCTACAAGAGTTTCCTCTACAGTTATAACCTCCTCTACTGGTGCCTCATCCTTTGGCTTCTTCTTTTTCTTCTTTTTCGTACGTTTCTCAATAACTACAACAGCATGCAAGGCAATCATCAGACAATGTCAGCACAACTCAAACACAGCCACCAGTAACTGCACTGGTAAATGTATTATATGTTGAAAACAGCTGCTTTATCCAATCGATTGCCTTTATGACACCAACTAAGAATTTAGCAGAAAAGAAACAGGAGAGGGAATACAGGAAAAGACACACAGTATAGCAATTTAATGTCTAAATGACGTTCATGCACCTATAAGTAAAGGAAATATCCAACTATCTCTACTTGAGTAACACAAACCTTCCTCCACAACTTCCTCTGGTGTTGTGAACTCTATAACCATCTCAACACGTTCTTCATGTACTTCCTCTTCTTCAATGACCTCCTCTGGCTGAGGCACCAGTTCAGGTTGAAGAATCTCCTCGGGAGTTTCTTCTGGTTGTTCAACTTCTATCACCATCTCAACCCTCTCTTCATAAACCTCCTCTACAGGAATTTCCTCTACAGGAGTTTCCACTACCGGAACAACCTCCTCTACTGGCACCTCTTCCTTAGGCTTCTTCTTCTTCTTCTTAGGCTTCTCAGTAACTATAACAACACCATGCAAGGCAATCATCAGACAATGTCAGCACAACTCAAATACATCCACCAGTAACAGAACTGGTTAATGTAATATGAGTCTCCAAAAGCTATTATACCCAAATGATTGCCTTTATCACACTAAGGATTTAGAAGAAAACAAATAAAAAGGGGATAACAAGATGCACATTTAAACAACTGAGTGCATAGATGACATTCACACACACACTGATAAAATACATCTCACAAACTTTTGATAAAAAAACACAAACCTTCCTCCACAACTTCCTCTGGTGTTGTGAATTCTATAACCATCTCAACACGTTCTTCATGTACTTCCTCTTCTTCAATGACCTCCTCTGGCTGAGGCACCAGTTCAGGTTGAGGAATCTCCTCGGAAGTTTCTTCTGGTTGTTCAACCTCTATCACCATCTCTACCCTCTCTTCATGAACCTCCTCTACAAGAATTTCCTCTACCGGAACAACCTCCTCTACTGGCACCTCTTCCTTAGGCTTCTTCTTCTTCTTTTTCTTAGGTTTCTCAGTAACTATAACAACAGCATCCAAGGCAATCATCAGACAATGTCAGCTCAACTCAAATACACCCACCAGTAACAGAACTGGTTAATGTAATATGAGTCGCCAAAAGCCATTATACCCAAATGATTGCCTTTATCACACCGAGGATTTGGAGAAAACAGTGAAAGGGGGGCTTACAAGATGCACATAGAAACAATTGAGTGCATAAATAAAATCCACACACACCGATAAAATCAAGAGCATATAAAGAAGGAGAGCGTACAACGGTAAAATGCTGAAACCATGTTACAGTATTAGTCGAATTAATAAACTTTCCCCGTTTTATTATTGATCAGCTGTCCTACCTTGTTCATATAAAACAAACCGCATGTCCCTATGATGCCCCTACGCTGAGATAATGAGCGGTAAAAATCTGGTATTTTCGCCGAAAACTGACTCGAGATCAGTCAGTTACTGTGACTGCCTCTCGAAGTGTTATAACTTCGGTAAACCTCGCGTGTTTCCGTCAGTGATTGACAAATGGAATGAATGACGTCTGTCATTGATTGCCATAGTTATGACCCCCACCTGTGCCCACCTCACGCCCACCTCACGCTGGATGTATAGTAAACTCTGGTAGTATGACGTGAGTCAGCGCCACTATGGCGCTACACAGCAGCGACCGGAAGCAACACCCTGGCCACACTTCGAGAGTGGGTCGCAGTACTGACTAATGTCTAGTCGGTGTTCAGCGAAAATACCAGATTTTCACCGCTCATTATCTCAGTGTATGGGCATCGTAGGGACATGCGGTTTGTTTTACATGAACAAGGTAGGACAGCTGATCAATGATACTGCAAAGAATCGTCAAAATAACACGGGGAAAGTTTATTAATTCGACTAATACTGCAACATGGTTTCAGCATTTTACCGTTGTACGCTCTCCTTCTTTATATGCTCTTGATAAAATATATCTCATTATCTTTCCGTGAAAAACACAAACCTTCCTCCACAACCTCCTCTGGTTTTGTGAACTCTATAACCATTTCAACACGCTCTTCCGGAACCTCTTCTTCAATGATCTCCTCTGGCTGAGGCACCAGTTCAGGTTGAGGAATCTCCTCGGGAGTTTCTTCTGGTTGTTCAAACTCTATCACCATCTCTACCCTTTCTTCATGAACCTCTTCTACAGGAATTTCCTCTACAGGAACAACCTCCTCTACTGGCGCCTCTTCCTTAGGCTTCTTCTTCTTTTTCTTAGGTTTCTCAGTAACTATAAAAACGCACGAGCCAATTATCAGATAATGCCAGCAGAATCTTAATACAACCATCAGCAGATTTGGTGCCTGTATTATAAATTCATAACAGCTAGTATATCAGAGAAATTCGCTTTAATGCTTACACTAAAAATTCGGGAGTGTGTAAATAACAAACAAACAAAGGAATACAAGACGCACAGCCCATTTACCAGTCACACACAATGTTGGGACAACACCCACAGTATAAAGCCTTAAGCAGCCAAACAAAGTCACTAGCATCAACACTGTTTATAGGTCCCTGATCGCTGACATGTGAAATATATTATTTACGAACAAAGCTAAGAAGCTATGAAATAACAGCTTCTACCAGGATTCCTCTTTGGTTCCATCAGATGTATTAGTGCCGGTATGTGTAGTGCAAAAATTCAGCAGAATTCTTACCTGCTTCCACTATTTCTTCCACCACATCAGTGCGCTGCAAGATCAGCTCAGCTTCTGTCACATGCTCTTTTGGCTTATCTGCTTCCTTCACAATCTCTTCTGGCATTCCTTCAATCTCTACCGGCTTTCCAGCTTCAAGGACAATTTCTGTTTCTGTTGTTTGTTGAGGAACTATTGCTTGCTTTTCTGTTGTTTCAACATGATCTTTGCGTTGAATGTCCAGAGTCACACTTTCTACTGTCTCTGTGTGCTCATCTGGCTTTTCTACCTCAAATGTCATCTCTGTGATTTGCTTTTCTACTTTCTCCTTCTTTTTCTTCTTCTTCTTTACAACCTGTGTAGTCTCAATGACTTCTTCCTGAATTTCTTTGATTCCTTTAATTTGAAAATCATGGGGTTAATCAGAAATAATTCGATTTCGTATGATAGCTTTTCTGATGCACACAGTGCTATTGACATTGACAATATTATCAATCCTGTAATAAAATCATTAATGAAAATTCGCAAAATGTTTGAATAAGACGTATATTCATCAGAAAATTACAACTGATAACTTGCACTTTCGTTTGCAGCATGGTTTTACTATTCCTTACCTGGCATTTCCTCTTCTGGTATAATTTCCTCTTCCACAATAGAGGGAACCAGTATTTCTTCAGATATGTGTTCTGACACAGACATAACGGTCACTGGAATATACAAAATTTGAGCTAATAACTAATAATAAAATCATTACCTAGTAGTATTGCTTACTTTTAGATAGCTTTTATTGCAATTATACAAATAACAAATACAAATTCAAATCAATTTTCCATATGTTTTGATCTATTAGTATTTAATGTATTGTGATTAGCCCTCGGTCTGTAATGTGCAAAATAAATTGTCAAATGCGCAACTTTTTCAGGATGGCAGCACGGTCAAGGGTGTCATGTCAGCGCCCAAAAATGAAGATTTCGAAATTTAATGTTGTTTTATGACAAACGTAAATGCGTAATTATAGATATTTGTAGGTATGTGCTATTATTTATAAATCTACTATCATAATATACTCTCAAATTCTAGAGTAAAGTATTCCTTTAAAAAACTATATGCAATGAATATAATAAAATAAAATGCAGATCTACCTTCCACAGTTAGAACAGCAACACATTCTGCAGTGCCCAGTTCATTAGTAGCCACACAGCGATACACTCCAGTGTCTTCTGGAAACACCTCAAGGATTTCTAGTTTAGCAAGGTTATCCTCGTATGTAACCCGTATGTCCTTGTGCTCTCTAATCTCTTCATTGTCTCTGAAATACACAATCACATGTGCTTTAGTAACACAGTAATACCTCGTGTTATGCAAATAATGAGCCCCAGAGAAAAACGTTCATAATGAGCAAATCCATAACATGAACCATGTTTTTCTATTGTAGTCCATTATACTTTTCTTTGGAAAATCTTTCAGCTAAAACAAGTACTAGGACAATTATGCCAGCAATTAAATATTTTAAGCACAAATATGAATTATTAAATCATGTAAGATAGTATCATAATTACACTGGGATGGAAAGGGAATTTAGAGTTTGAATCATTATGAGGGAGAAGGAGGGACGTTGTTACGAGCTAGCTCGCTATCATTATCACTATCACTGAAGAGATCAGGTATCTCAAGCCCTGTCCTGGAGGTCAAAATTTATCTACAGTTGGTAGCTGTTTACGACGGATCTCCTCTTTGTATGGCTCATTGTAGCATCTAGCGTGTGAGGCTGCTGTAAACTGCTATCGAAATATTGGATGTAGAAGGGCGACCACGGGAATATGCATATTTCATAAACATGAGGTGCACGTACAGGTCACACTATCTAATGCAATAGTGGCACATTACACATCACAGATGACCTGCCGAACATGTTGGTAGCGGGCTGCATTTTTATTACAAAAAATTTATTTACGATGATAGAGCATGCCACTTTTTGTGAAAAATAACCTGTTAAATCATTTGAACAATTCCATAATCACAAATTTGCAAATCCCGAGTTAATTGGTTATAATTTGCAAATTACACATGGGCTAGTTGTTTTATCCAGAGTTAAGATCATCACTTAATTACATTACGTGAATTTACGTAATCTGAGTTGTTGCAACACAGGATAATACTGTAGTCCAATACAGTTATGTCCACATTTTACGGAGAGAAATCGATACACACCGATATCATTGTTACAATTTAGGATTATAGTTATCATATAAAATCAGAAAAATCTAAATACTTACTTATACCACTTTACAACTGGTTTGGGAGTACCAGAGAGGACAGCTCTGAACGTAACTGTGCTGCCATCATGAACAACCTGTAATGATAACAACATACATAATTACCGAGACATGAGAATGACAGATATTGTGAAATTAAAAGTGTATCAGCTTATAACATAATTAATATGTATTTGCATGCAGCCTGCAATTTTCAACTGTACCTGTGCCTACTCAAAACAATAAAAACATTTCATGCTACTGATCGCTAGGTAAGCATTTTAAAGCTAACATGAAAGGCCATGGAAGCGACATTTATATTAATAAAGAGAAGAAATACCATCGAGTTGAACTTGTCCTTGAATTCGGGAGCCTTTGTTTCCTCAAAAGGAATGATGAGAGGTTCTTCTGCAAGCATCAATTAACAGGCATGTATATGTCTATTGTAAGTATGGGTAGTAGTAAGAAATTAAGACAAGCACACAATTAATGTGACTATTCAAGTGATAAACTGCGACCATGCATGAGCCAGTTACATGAGGTGATATATGGCATGTAAATGTCACATTGGCCAGATGGCAATTCACGCTTTTCTGATCATACTAGATAGATACTAACCTTCAACAGTAAGCTCAGCAGTGCAAACGGAAGTGCCACTAGGGTTCTTTGCCGTAACAGTATAATGACCCTGATGAACCATTCGCTTCACCTTTGTGATTGTCACAGTGTAAATTGTTTCCACTCTGGTGATGGTGACGTGTTCGGATGCAGTGAGGACCATGTCGTTGAACGTCCACACGACTAAACAAAGAAATACATGAAACTGTACTAATAAAATTCATTATAAGGTAACATAATATAGTTTTTGCATTAGGTACTAAAAGTAAACACATAAATCAACATTAATCTTTCAAAATTGCATACCTTCTGGGTGAGGCTTGCCAGTGATCTCGCAGCTGAAGGTAACCGTCTCATTCTCTCTCACTTGTTGAGACTTGGGTTTCTTTACAAATGTAGGAGGGACCTGCTCTTCTTTAGGCTCTGCGTAGTGTAACACAACATCAATTACATTTCAAGTATTGTAAGAGTATTTCATCACAACGCGTTATTGTTAACATCTTTAGTTTTGAACTTCAGACTGCGGACTCCCTCTTTTTGAGAGCAGGGAGTCTGTTGTTCAAAAGTTAATTTCTACCCCTGTGACAACACATCGAGCATTTTCGAGTTCTACCAAATAAATGCAGCACAAAGAATGGCTGTAGCTATAACATGACAAAGGGCTATTAGTTACATGATGCTTGAAATAGATACGATTCTTTTAGGAGTAACGTTTATACAAACAATACGTTACTTTATTCTATATTCATTCATAATAAGGTATACCGGTACTTACTTTCAACAATGAGCTCTGCAGTGCAGACTGACTCGCCAAACTCGTTCCTTGCAACAACTGTGTATCTGCCCATGTCTTCAGGTTTTACTTCCATGATGGTCAGATAATGCGTGTCATCTTCTTCCACGTAAGTCACAGTGTGTCTCTCATCTGGACTGAATGGTTCGCCATTAAACAGCCACGTTACCTCTGGCTTGGGTTCACCGATGACCTTGTGTAAAAATTGAAAACAAAGCACATGTAATTCATTGTTCATTTGACATTCATGTGACAATATTATATCAGTTTCGTTTTCTATATCAATGGATGTTTTATTAAAATGCTCTATGAAGGTAGAGAGTTGTAGAACTAATAACATTTTTTAAACACAATTAGATATCTAGCCAGTGCTATTACCTTGCACTTAAAGGGTACGGTCATGTCCTGAGTGACAGCAAAGCCTTCCAGGGGCACAATAAACTGTGGTGCTGAACCCTTTTTGATTTTCTTTTCTTTTCGTTTTTTCCTCCTTTCAACCTTCACCTCTTCTGTTTCTTCAACCTTAATTTCCTCGAATTCTGTGCCAGAGCAGTAATAATATGAGTTGCATTAATGTACTGCCGCTAATTACATGATGTAAACTTATTTAACATGGTTAAGCATCATATTAGGAATGTCTGAAAATATTTTATCTGTTATTGGTAAGACGTATAACCTTCAATTTTAAATCGTCATAACTACATATCAGATGACAGATAGTTATGAACAAGAACGTGAGTACATGAATCATCAGAATTAGAAGCAACCAACCTTCCACAAGCAGCTCAACAGTGCAGATAGACCTTCCAAAGTCGTTCTTTGCCACAGCAGTATACATCCCAGAGTCGAGTGGTGTTGTCTGGGTGATGGTCAGCTGATGAGTATCATTCTCTGGTACGTACGTGATCTTGTGGCAATCGTCTTCCTCAATGGGTACACCATTAAACAGCCACTCGACACTCGGTTTAGGTTCGCCTGTCACCTGACACTTCAGCACAGTGTCGTCATTGTATCCAACAAGCATCGGCTCCAGAGGAATGACAAACTGTGGTGGAACACCTAGACGGTAAACAGATGTAAGAAATATCTTTTGTTAGTGACTCGATTTCACCATTAACATTAAAAGGCACATTGGTTAGAATAAATATAATAACATTGCATTGTAGAATTTGTACTATAATTTTATAGTAATTTTTAACATCATACATGTATGCAAACTGTAATAAGTCATGCCATTCCACAAAATGCATTTTTTTAATATCACTTACAACTTGAATTTAAACATTGAGAGTTGAGTCTAGTAAATTTTATATAACAAAAGCATAAAATATAATAGATTACCTTCCATAAGCACCTCAGCAGTGCACTTTGCTGTTCCAAATTGATTTTTGGCTACTGCTGTGTACCTTCCGCTGTCAGGCAATATGGCCTCTGTGATTGTCAGATGGTGCGTGTCATCCTCTGGCGTATAGCTAGTCACATGTTTCTCATCTTCTATGAGAGGAACACCATTGTACTCCCATGTCACCTCTGGTCTAGGTAAACCAGTCACCTTGCACTTTAGTGGCACCTCCTTACCAATTGGTACTACCATAGCGTCCAGAGGAACCACAAACTTTGGTGAGCGACCTGCAAAGAATATTTGTATTCCATTACATCTACACAGAAAATATCATCATAAGTAAGTTTACACCTCTTTCTTTGCATTATATTATTATCATTATATAATACATTGATATATGGGTACTCCCCAGGCCTTTGACAGATGTTGAGTACTAGAAGCCTTCAAAGCTGAAGACAATTGGTGACATCCCATATATCCTCCAAATTTCCTAATCGACATGTCATAATTTACAGCGGGTTGCTTTTGACAATCCCACCACAGTCAAAGTGTCAGTGTTTAGTCAGCTTAATGTACAGGTCTCCAATTCGATTGTGTTTACCTGTACACGTATTGGGTCCACATTTATGACATGTGTAAATGACTCCAATTAACACGAGGGATGAATTACCTTATTGCCTGACATACTGAATTTAACACATTGTTTATTAATGTTTTTGCAATGACATAGGCCTATGCATACTTCTGTAGCTAATTATCCATGTTGATAACACATTTATAATAGTAAATTAGTAATACCTTCGACCACAATTTCAGCAGTGCACTTGGCAGTGCCGAAGCGGTTTTTGGCCACTGCAGTGTAGTTACCACTGTCTGGTAGGTCAGACTTCTTTATTGTCAAATGATGCAGGTCTTTTTCAGGTGAGTAATACACCTGATACCTTTCATCTGGATGAATCGGCATTTTGTTGTACTCCCATGTTACCTGGTTAAAAAATATTGAAGAAAAATTTTTCATTCATGCCATAACACTTATGTCATAAGCAATCACTTTATTGAATGATTTATCATATATATTTAGACATGTTCTCAATATGGGTTCGTGTCATACATACTTCTGGTTGTGGAACTCCTGTCACTCGGCATTTCAGTGGGATATCCTCATTGAATGGTACGAGCATTGCCTCTGGTAATACCACAAACACTGGCGCTACACCTTCCACGAGAAGCTCTGCAGTGACTTTGGCCGTTCCAAATTTGTTCTTGGCGATGATTGTATAGTCGCCACTGTCTTCTAGGATGGTTTCGGGAATGGTGAGGTAGTGTAGATCTTCCTCTGGGACGTATCTCACTTGGTGTCTCTCGTCGGGCTGCAACGGCGTACCGTTGTATTCGTAGCTGACATCCGGTACAGGAATTCCAGTCACTCTGCACGTGAGTGTAGCTGGCTGTGTGATTGGTGCCAGTTTTGCTTCCGGCAGCACAGTGAACTTCGGTGGAATACCCTCGATAACAAGTTCTGCGGTGCACTTGGCTGTGCCAAACTTGTTCTTCGCTACAGCAGTATAGTTGCCGCTGTCATCTAATGTGGTATCCGTGATGTCAAGGTGGTGAATATCTTCTTCTGGTGAGTGATACAGCTTGTGTCTGTCGTCCTCTTCCACAGGCACACCATTATACAGCCACGTTACCTAAAATGTGCCGATGTGCAAACAATAAAACCATGGGAGTTAGTGGTTTGCAAAGCAATGATGTCATTTTACACAAGCCAGTAGCAACTACAGGGGGTTAAATGTAATATAATTCTAAATACAATACTACAATAGTTAATTATGTATTTATATAATAAAATAATCATTTTTCTTTTTTTATTATTGTAACTTTTGAAACCACTACGTGATTGCAACCACGCTACACTTCACACCATGACTTACCTCAGGTGTTGGCTCTCCTGTCACCTTGCACTTGAATGGTGCTGTTTCATGCACTGGTCTCAGCATTGCATCCGGCAAAACCACAAACTTTGGTGGAACTCCTAAATATGCAATAAATTACACTATTAAATGTGACTACTTTTTGGTATACAAACATGCACTTATTATATTCACCTAAAAGACTAAAATAATGACCTACTCATATTTCAACCAAGTACATGTATGTGTTTTTCGTGTTACCATAATGGAAAAGATATATAAATTCACGTGCATGTGTGTACCTTCAACAAGCATCTCAGCAGTGCAGATCGCCTTGCCAAAGTCATTTGTCGCCACAGCACTGTATTTGCCAGAATCGGGGAAGACCGAGTCAGGAATGGTGAGGTAATGCATATCTTCCTCTGGGTTGTAGAAGATTTGGTGTTTCTCATCCTCAGTAATTGGTACGCCATTGTACTCCCACGTAACCTGATGGTACAAGGCATTTGTCATTATATATTAGAACAACATGCATGCCTAAAGCCGTAACCTCGTAATGATTAGTCTCATAACCTATAAAAGCCTTATAATAATGTCCTTATAATACGGGACCATGACGGAAGATGGAGAGTGAAAGGGTGACCAAACCCGCTCACAAGTGATTTATTCAAAACTGGATAGGCCCTACACGATCAGATCTATGATTCTGTTCGTAAGTGCCATGCAATAGCTGGCTGTAGACTTGACTTGACTTAAAATTAAGTATAACGCCTGTGAAAGTCGGTTGATCATGGTTCAGTACCCAGGCAGTAATAACAATAGTCAATACAACAAGTGACTTCCATACTGCCATACGTATCAATGACAATGTGCAACATGCTCGTATTACCATGTATCACTACCGCTGATAGGATTTATGTCTCCCTGAGTACTGCCGGAACGTACCCTGGGTACGGTCCGGTATATCGGAACGTACCCTGGTAACTATCTGATTACCAGAATCAGATCTAACCCTAACCCTAACCCTAACCCTGGTAACTATCTGATTATCTATAATAGTTACCAGGGTACGTTCCGGTATACCGGACCGTACCCAGGGTACGTCTCGGAAGTACCCAGGGAGACATAGACCTTATGAGCATCACTAGACCAAGAACGAACTTATAATGTCAAGTTGTGAAGTGAAAAGTTTTGCTTATTTTTATTTCACCCCTGACCATAAGTATAGCTCATAGGGTCTATGTCCCCCAGGGTACTGCCGGAACGTACCCTGGGTACGGTCCGGTATACCGGAACGTACCCTAGCTGGTCACTATTTGATATGGTTAGGGTTAGGATTAGGGTTAGGGTTAGGGTTAGGATTACGGTTCGGGTTCGGGTTCGGGTTAGGGAGTAGGCGTAGGCGACTCCCTAGACTCGTTAGTGGAGTAGGCGAGGTACGGTTCGGCATATTAGATAGTACCAGGGTACGTTCCGCCGCGGTTCCGGTATACCAGACCGTACCCAGGGTACGTTCCGGCAGTACCCCGGGAGACATAGACCCTCTCAGCATAAGTATAGCTGAGAGGGTCTATGTCCCCCAGGGTACTATTGGAGGGTACCCTGGGTACGGTTCGATATATATCGGAACGTACCCTGGTACCGGTACTATCTATATATCTGATATGCCGGACCGTACCTCGCCTACTCCACTAACGAGTCTAGGGAGTCGGCTACGCCTACTCCCTAACCCTAACCCTATCAGATAGTTATACTAGGGTACGTTCCGATATATCGAACCGTACCCAGGGTACCCTCCGATAGTAGGTACCCTGGGGGACATAGACCCTATATCATATATGGCTCATGCGCATAAGTATATTATCAGAAATGCATCCAACTGAATTACATCATATGGCAAATTAACTGGCGTAAGGCCGCACGTGGTATAATGCCTTATTTACCGCTAACACGAAATACCAATCTCTTCAGTAAACACGCTAACAACTTGTCACTACGTAGCTCTAGTACTATAGCCCGCGTACCGTTGCCGTCTAGTCACTACGCTACGCCTAACAAATTGCTGTTTCGACGACCCTGACGTTTGGGCCACTTGCAGAATTAAATACACGCGCCGCAGATAGATGGCGCCGAGCGGCTAACATCGTTCTATATAAAGGGACTCTAATATCGTAGTACAGCCAGAGCACGTATATCATAATATTATGATATATTATACGTTCTCTGCAAAGGCCGTATATAAAGCCATAGACTAAGAATTAAAAATATTGTTAGTCTATGATATATAACTACGTACGTACGTATAATTATGACAATTATACGTGCGTACGTATATACACATCACTGTTAATTTAATTGAATGCTACACTTTTATTTAAAATGCTCTCATATGGCGGCTAAAATGTTTTATAGTTTGTATAGATACGTGCGGGTCGTCAACTGCGTGTGTGCGTGCGTATGTGCATGCATTCGTGGGCTCGTACGTACGTACATGCATGCGTGTATTTATGTAGTATGTGTCTCTGCCTGCCTGCGTGCCTGCCTGCGTGTGCTTACCTGCCTACACCCACTAGCGGATTAAGGGCGGGGCAACAGGGGCACGTGCCCCGGGCCCCCCACATTTGGGGCCCCCACATTTAGAGTATCCTAAAATTTACAAAACTGTCGTAATTGTGATCCACAAAATTCTTAGCATGTAACGTTGAAGTGATGCGTTTACCATGCTGTTTCTCTGACTGAATTTTGCTGTTCAGCTGAAGGACACTTTCCCTAATACCAAAATTGCTCTGAGAATCTATCTTTCATTGATGGTCTCGAATTGTAGCGGTGAAAGGTCATTTTCAAAACTCAAGTTGATTAAAAATCACATGAGAACCCCGATGGGCCAACAGAGACTGGTAAACCTCAGTATTCTCGCTATCGAAAGTGACATTTTAAATTCGTTGATACACGATGAAATACTCTCTGAATTTGCAAGCATGAAAGTGCAGAAAAAATACAGACTATAGGGCCCCCACACAATTGCGTGCCCCGGGCCCCCCACACGCTTAGTCCGGCCCTGCCTACACCCCTGCCTGTTTGAGTGCATGCATGCCTACCTTTCTGTCCATCTATCTACTTATCTATACACCCATCCATCCATCCATCCAACCTACCAACCATCCGTCCGTCCGTTCGTACATCTACCCATCAATCCGTCCGTCCGTTCATATATCTACCCATCAATCCGTCCGTCCGTTCGTATATCTACCCATCAATCCGTCCGTCCGTTCGTATATCTACCCATCAATCCGTCCGTCCGTTCGTATATCTACCCATCAATCCGTCCGTCCGTCCGTCCGTCCGTCCATCCATCCATCCATCCATCCATCCATTTATCCATTCATCAATTCATCAATTCATCCATCGATAGATTGATCGATCGATCGATCCATCCATGCATCCATCTATCCATTGATCCACCCATACATTCATCATTCACCCATCCATCCATCCATCCATTCACCCACCCATCTATCTATTTATCCAGCTAACTAGCTATAGAAGACGGGGAAATGCAAGGCCGCTTTCACTCTCGTGGTTGCGCGCCTAAAATAACATTATACGGTACAACTATATCATTAACAAACTTGTAAATTTCATCACTCTGCTGTTCCCGATTGCTTTACGGTTGCTAAGACGTTTTTACTCCCTGAGTCCTCCGCTGAGTGACTCATCTTACAAACGACCCCAATGACACTATATATCCCGAGCATATCCATACACTGCGTCGATATTATGTATAACTATGGTAATATAAAAAATATTAAGTTACGCTGTCGTCCTTTCGGCGCGAAATTATTTTTTTTATAAAAACAGCGAGTTTCGCTGGAAACTATGCGCACACGGATTTTCACGGTAACAAACACCCCGTTCGCTGTTTTACCGTAGCCGTTACATGGCAATCTCCGAACCGCTGTGTGATGCGACCCTGCCGGATTGGAAGGTTTCTAGCTTCGGGATGATACTACAGGGCAGTAGGCTGAGCAAATTCCTAGGGGGGGGGCAAATTTAATGACTCAACTGTAAAATGATGACGGACAGGCGCAGCTCTTAATCGATATGCATAGCGTGGTGGGGGTGGGTCTAAAGGCCCCCGCACACGGTGCGCAGTCGGCGCGTGCCAAGGGCGCTGTGCAGAATTCGCACCGTGTGCGGGCTGGCGTGCGCCGTTGGCGCGCGAGAATGCGCGCGCAAAATATCTATCGTCTTTGATTTTTCTGGCTCAGCGCCGTTGGCGCGCGCCGAATGCGCACCGTGTGCGGGCTGATTTACGTGCGCAAATGGCGCGCGCGTTTAGTTCAGCGTCGTTGGCGCGCGCCGAATGCGCACCGTGTGCGGGGGCCTATAGACCCACCCCCACCACACTATGCATGTCGATTAAGAGCTGCGCCTGTCGTCCGTCATCATTTTACAGTTGAGTCATGAAATTTTGCCCCCCCCCCAGGAATTTGCTTAGCCTACGGCCCTGTAGTATCATCCCGAAACTAGAAACCTTTCGATCCGACAAGGTCGCATCACACAGCGGTTATTTACGATTATTAGCTAAGCTTGTTTTTGATTTTGCTCCAAAATCTAGGGGAGGAGCAGCTGCCCCCTTACACCCCATGCACAGGCTACGGCCCTGTACTAGCTAACGCCTTAACATGCATCCACTGCGAAAGAGCTACTCTAGTATGTATATTTTTTCATGAGATTTAATAGCGATAATATGAGCATAGTTTTTATGAAGCACGAAAAGTCAAATGATTTTTTATATAGATTAGGGGCACTACAATGCCTACATACGAGAGAACAGGGCCAGGAGTTCAATGTTACCTCATCGATTTAATTATTTTTGTCCATCATGCATTTGTACCGTATTTTATTTTGCTCGAACTTTCATGCAACTTTTCGCATATAAGCGGTAACATAAAACTTATAATTAAGCGAAATGAATCAGTGAGTACTCTTTAGAGCTTGACACGTATATTTTTATGTCGCGCACGCCGCATTTTTCGTGCGCGTGTGCGTGCGTCCATGTGTGTGTGTAATATATGATATGGATTATGTGGCGCAATTATGATAGATTTATAACGTACATAACTATCGCGCTCTTCGTACCAGACCGGTTAAGTAGAGAAATATTGTTCTAGCGCGTTGTTTGAGATATTATTGGAATCATATTGTTGTTCTGCGAACTAAATTTCAGTATAATAGAATAATACATAATCTAAACCGAATAGGACATGTTTGTTTTCAATATAAAATCACCTGGGGGATCGGTTCTCCGGTTACTTGGCACTTGAATACTGTAGGCTGATGTATTGGCACAAGCTGCGCCTCCAAGGGAATAATGAACTCTGGTGGGGTACCAGGAGGAACCTTCTCCTTCTTCTTCTTCTTTTTCTTTTTCTCTGGTGCTTCTTCTGGTGCTGATCATATGGGATTATTAATTAGCATTAAACTCGCTAATGCATTCATATTTCCTACATATATACGGCTATAAATTAATAAACATATATAAATATATATACGTATTTGTTTATTAAAATTGTAATTGGTTAGTCAATAAGAGATTTATTAATCTAAAAACATCTATAGTATCACACGCATGCTGTAAATAATCAAGATGCAGTTTTCCAATTAGTTTTCGAGTAATGTCAGTTTATATCGATTTGCGCTATGCCTCATCCGATTTGGGCTATAAATTTTCCATTTCTACTTGTGCGGGACCCCCCCCCCTACACTGACAATTTATGTGACGGTATATTTTTCATAGTTTGGCAGGGTGGGACTTATAACATGATATATTTATTTAGATAGTCTGGACATTTTAATAGTTAGTTATTATAAATCTCATTCTGCAATACTTTCTTACTGCGCACCTATTAGCTGACGATGTATGATCGCATGGCAAAGATTTATAGTTTAGTTAAATTTACGACAACTATAGTTGTTATAAATATGTGCATAATGCAAACTGCTCCAATTACAATTAAAAATGAAAAAATATTTAGAACTTCCACGTTAGAAATAGTTCATTCCTGACGAATATTATTATTGCAACGACCACCGTTTCTGAAAGCTGAAGATAATGTAACAAACGTCATTTACTAATAAAAAGTCCCCACAATCTTTAACGTATAATGGAAGTTTCACGTGACATAGAGCATGAAATATAATAGTTAACATCCACGGCGCTTGAGACCACAAACTGTCGCTGTGTAAGACGTGGCTTGTGTAATTGAAATCACTCCACGCGTTATGGCCAAACATGAGGGCATGGACTGAGACCACTGGTTAGATAACGGCATTTGCCATGCGGATGAAAGGTCCGATGTAATAGCCACATTATGCGCGCAATTAATTTGATTAATTAAACAATTAGTTAATAATTATATTAATAAGGTTAAAAACGTTATCCATTGCGGAAATGAAACTTGCTTGCTATATTCCCGTTTGTCTCGCAATGGGTGGTCAACAAGATAATTGGAGAACACGACGTTTCGTGTGCTTCCTCACTCGCAACGTCGCCGCATCACCTGACGAATTGTTGCAGTAGCACACGAAACGTCGTGTTCTCCAATTATCTTGTTGACCACCCATTGCGAGACAAACGGGAATATAGCAAGAAAATTATATTAATGTGCACAATAAGCAGCACAATTATGGTAATTTATCAATATATTATATCTATAATAAGAGATTAACGGAGTTTTGCGATGTGATTGCTGTAAATTCATTTTATCTGGATTTCAATACCAGTCTTGACAAATTCAAAGAAATCGGTATCACGTACTTGATGATGCGCAGTAGGAAAAATAGCAAATAGGTAAAGAATATACACGATTATCTCTAAGACCATTTTTTTAACAAGAAAAGAGAGTTACTGTGAGAATTATTCATGTTCAGTTTTAAACATTAAGACGAACACAAATACCCGTTAAAATGAATCAACAATATGAGTACATTTATTTTATTGAATGTCACAACCTGTTTTATATACACAACCTGATTAAATTAAACACTTTGAAATATTTCCCTCCACGACTCGGCGTTTTACACAGTTACACCGATTTCTGGAATGATAATAGAAGTCATCAAGTATCCAGTCAGTTAATGAATACCTATCATCCATACACCCTGTTCATTAGTTTTTGGGTTTGGTAGAACTTTATGAAACCCCCAACGTTGTACATACACACAGTTGTATTAAATCGTGAACGCACCGTGTTGAAATTTTATCAAGATTTTCCAAGCCCTAGAACTAGTATTAACGGTGTACACAGAGAATAGAGTTTCTCATATAGAGTGTACTTGATAATATCAGGCAATAATCTGTATAATTTATTATCTGACTATCCAACACCATTCAATCTACAAATTATAATATTAATATATGATTTTGCTAAATCAACGCATTATGCCAATTAAAAGTTTATATATATATATATATATATATATATATATGTGAATGTTTTGTGAAATGTCTTATTCATACTAAAATATATTATGTACACAACTTGGTCTTAAAACACGGGTCACAACCTTCTGCCGAGAGTTATTACGTTACACCTCTGTTTTAATGGTTATATTGCAGTTAATGAATTTCTTTACAAAAAAACACCAGCGCAAAATCCAACGATTTCATTATAATAGCCTATTAAGCAAGTAATGATGCACAGAGTCGCATGCATTTAATTGAATACTAATGTGAAGAGCATGTAAGGTATAAAGCATATCTAACATATCATGCCATGTAAATATACTGTACAAATGAACAGGAAACGTACTAATAATATGACACAGAATATGACAATAGCATGCTTATTACAGTCGCTTAATCTCATTTAGCACAAACTAGTTATTATTGCAAACTCTAGTGGCAAAATGCGTTAGTAACAATATTATACAAAAAACCAAATCAATTACAACTTAGTTGCATACTTAAGATTTACTGTGATCATCTCGTGACGTAAATTTAATGTTAGTTCTTAATCAAACCTCCAATATTTCCTATATACATGCATAAGCAATTTTCCTCACCACCCTTACCTAATAAATTTATATAAGATGCTATTCGACATGACATGATAAAAGTTCATGATAAAGTTAATGGATTCAAGTATTGTCTATCCTGTACACTACAGAAGTTATATTACAAGAATATTTATGAAATATCAGAATCAGCATGCCCAGTTTAAATTGGCACAACCATGATTCCTTGTAAGCGACTAAAATTATATCGCAGCTATATAAACAGATTTTTGACAAAGTAATACGTGGAACGGTTTAATACAATTATTACTGTACATGCATATTGGAGCTACCGTCATAAATCGAACCACGTTCACTAACATACTAGCACATGCAGTAGACGTTTCCATGCAAGTACATCGCGATTTACATAAACTGCAATGCAAAAACACTGGATTTACAATGCGACAACATGCAACGATGCTTTTTTCCGGGTCCTATTCACATATCTCAACTTTCGGTCATGCAAGCTGATTCATAACGAGGATGGTTGTAGAAGATTCGACTTAGTCAGAGCACACGAACGAATCAACACCATGCAGTTACACGCCTGAAATGAGTATTTACAGATACTTAGTAGGTACAATTACGAAATGGTATTATTGTTAGTATAGACCGGACTAAAATGGATGCGATTATTAGATTATATTTATCAGTGGAGGATTCTGAAATCGCAATAGAGGCTATGTATGGCGCTTATTGGTGCCATGGTATTTCTACCTTTTCCGCTACATATACAAATTTATTGTTATGATTGCTATGTAAAGATATCACTATATTTAGAATGATGAACAGATAAATTATTGCATCATATGCATAACCCTGATAATGCATAAATGCGTTTTCATCATAATCCCTCATCTGAATGTCTTTTTTCACTGCAGTTTAAATAATATACATACCTACATGAAACAATAATACTACGAATGGGGCTACAGTAGAGCTATCAAGAGCAAATCCAGAAATTTGATAACGGGGATCGATTGAATGCAGAGCAGAAGGGGACCCCCATGAATCTTTTTTTGGAACATAAGCAATTCGACAGATTATGACTATTTTCCATTTTGAAGAACTAATTATATTTGAACATCATCAACATCATCATCACTATAACAACATTAGAAAATCTGTCACAAGAGGGCTGGACTACTGAGTCTACTTCTGGGTTCATGCAGAAAAGGTTATGATTTTGACACTTACCAACTACGTCCAAATTGGCAACTGTTGTGGCCTCTCCAGCTGTGTTCTCTGCCACCAGTGTGTATTTGGCAATGTCTTCAGGGGTGCACTTTGAAATCTCCAAAATCTAAGTAAACACATTGCAGGTTAAATGAAGAACGAATAGGAAGAATTATAAATATTTAACAAAGTAATTTGTCATTATTAACCCCTGGTTATATATGTTACTTAATACATGGGATAGCAGTTCAAGAGCTGAGGGAACATTGCCCATTGTCAATCTAAGCAAATTGTACCTCTGTGTCATCATCTTCATAGATATGATATTTGTCACTTGGCTGCAACTTTGTCTCCTCCTTCAGCCACATAATTGTTGGCTTTGGCAATCCTGTGACTGTGCTCATGAACTTGGCATCGGTTTCCTAAGAGATAGACAAGAAACCAAGATACTCAAATGCTTTTCACAATATTGCAATATAATTATATGTAGGAGAGCATATTTAACCAATTTGGTACTTTTTCGAAAGTACTAACTGAAGTATCTTTAATTAAACATTGACTAAGTATAGTTCCCATATGGATAGTAAAATGGATATTCCCTTGCTTTCCTGACCTGCCTGTGTCTCACATGACACTATTAATTTCATGTATATGCAAAGCAAAGATGAATTCATCCAACTAATTGCTTTGCAAGCTTCTGTCCTCATAGGAACATAACACCGAATGAATTCAACAAGTATTATTCTCAGCATGCCCCACGGTTACATGAGAGCAGGTCATATCTCAAAGCGATTTAATAAATACCCCATGTTCAATTCTACCTGGGTGACCTTCTGATCTCTCAGAGGTTGGATAACCATTGGTGCCTCTTTCACTGGCTCAGTGATGAGCTCAGCTGTACACATAACTGTACCAAACTGGTTGGTTGCTCGGCACGTATAAGGAGCATCATCATCTAGTGTCACCTCCTTGATTGTAAAGTACACTGTTCCATCATCCTGGTATTCAACGCTAGATCAACGAAATCAATAGGAGCATGTTAGGTTTAAGATACCACATACGAGTGAATTAAGACCGAGGCAATTGCTGAAATATTACAGATTATATTAGCCAGATAATCAGATATACAACGTTGTTCTATCAGCAGTAGAAAACCATTATTCCCATTCCTATCCATCCCTGTTTCTTAAATATACTAAATATATAATACATATGTACACATACGATAACTTTTCAGATGGCACAATGTCCTGTTCGTCCTTCAGTATAGTAATTTCTGGTCGGGGTTTGCCTGCCACCTGACAATCAAATGTGACTGTGCTGCCTTCTTGTGTGACGGTTGACGACATCGTGGTGATGAAGTATGGTGCCTCGCCCTCCTCTACCTCTTCTACAAACATGTTACGAAACCACTCCAGCATATTTTGTTGAAACACGGCTATTGTGATACTACACATGAATGTGCTTATTTACTGCCTAAATGTGCTTTAACAGGCAATGTTATTCATGTAATATCGGCACCCATGTCCTGTGGTGACGAATCACTACGGATTGCTACTGTAACTGACCTTGTAATTTGATGGATCCTGTAGCACTAATCTTGCCAATTTCATTCTCCACGACAATTGTGTACTTTCCCACGTCTTTGGTAGTGATCTTCTCAATACGCAAGATGGAGGTGTACATGTGAACATCCGGGTAGAGAGACACTTTTACCCTCTCCGTCTCGACAATTTTAGTTTCCTCGAAGAACCATGTGACCTAGATGAAGTGTGAAGGGCCTTTGTGTAATATTAATTAAAATAAATTGCCACACATTTAAATATTTGATTTGTTATATTTTACAGCAATACAGAACTATAAAGTAGTTCTACTTTCAATTTGTAATATATCTAAGCCTGAACATACCGTAGGCCTTGGGTTTGCAATGAAACATGACTTGAACTCAGTCGTGGAGTGCTCCTTCACCGTCTTCTTCTTCGGTTTTAAAGTAAAGGTCGGCCTTAATCCTTCTTCTTCATCTTCAGTTTTATCCTCGGCTGCAAATAGAGGGTCAAACTAGACTGGTCCAGCTTGTGTTTTGCGCACACTTATCAGAAAGGGTAGTTCCATCAATTGCATTTTCATTCACGTTTTACTAGTTGTACTATAACGCTCTACAAACTGAATAATGACCTACTGAAGGCAGGGTAAACACAAGCACGCGTGATGATGAGTGGAAAGCAAAAGTATTCATTACGCATACCATGCACATGCACATAGTAATTCATTACACACGTTACTTAGAAGGCCATAGCTGTTACAATATAAGTTGAAAGGATGTTAAGTCATCACACCTGTGTCATCATCAGAAGCATGCATTGTTGTCTGTGTTGCGATGCAGCCTGCCAAGTTCTCTGCCTTTACAGTGTACAAGACCTCGGAATTGTCTGTTTCATGCACAGGCTGGGTTATGTTGAGGACATGCACATCTTCTTCTCCCACTTCAGACTCATGCAACAAAACTCCATCGCCATACCAATGCACTGTCAACCTTTTGCCGGAAATTTCACAATTCAGGTTGAAACTTCCACTATCATGCAACGGCGTGTAGGTTAGTGACTTAACAATCCTTGGTGAACGTAGGAGCTCGGACACATCTGGAACAGACGTGTCCATACCATCTACACCACCTACAGGTATAGTGGGATCTGTCGCAGATGAGGTTTGTGATCCTAATCCTGAGGAGTCTACTGGAGATGGCTCACTCTGCATCACGTTAGAATTTGATACATCACTAATAAGGGTGTCTATCACAGGTGATGTGAACAGGTCATGTGTCAGTTTTGGCCTCGATTTCGATTTCCTTTTTACAACGTCATAGTACTTGAATCCTTTCCCGGCTGGTTTTGCTACGTGTGCAGATATTTGAGATTTGCTGCGTTGATTTGCGGGTGCAGGGGAATCCGTGAAATCCCAGGAATCATTATCAGGCTTTGGACTGTGGGCATCTAGTATTGGTTCCTCTATAATCGGTGACAGGCAGGCTTCCGCAGAATGACTGTCAACATGCATATTAAACCACGCTGCAACGGATTCGCTTATCGGGGTTGTCTCTGCTGGTTCCTCCTCCTCTGTTATTGTATTCAATATGTCCTCAACGGCTTCTCCCACCTGTTGTTCAATTTCAGCTTCAGAATATTCATTGTCCCATTCTCCGATCACAATGAATTCAGGCGCACCTGAGCTCTCACTAGGATTCAACGATGGGCCTGTTGCTCTTGATAGATCATGCTTCAGCTTTTTAGTGACGTGTTCACTAGAACTAGCCACTTCATTCGATGAAGGCAACGTTCCTTCAGAAATTTGAGGCTGCGAACGCTTGATAGTTTTCACAGATGGCCGAAAATGAGGTTTCTTCTTTGATGGTGACACTGGAATTTTGTTTCCACTGAATGAGCTTGGGTGGGTATACAACCTCTGTGAGGAGTTAGACAATGGACTGCTATGTACACTGATGCTTTGAATAGGTGGTCGATCAACACATGAGGCTTGTGGAATTGCACTTTCTGCGCCATCATCTGGATGGAACTGATAAGGAGCAATCTTATCAAACAAGAGTTTCTTACCACTGAAATGCCTTTCCTTGGATGAGGAATTAGGTAAGCTTCGAGTAGAAGATTCATGTAACGTCGGAGTCCTATTCAGATTGTCGGCTTCCTCAAGATCAATGTGGAAAAATTTCGAATACCTTGCTCTCGGATGGGTGTGGTACACGTGCCGTTTAGGACTGGGATGTGACGACACTGAGAATTCGTCAACAAGGAACTGTGATTTTACATCAGATGGTGAATCTGGCACAGTTGGTGTTGAAGACGCATCTTCCACAGTGCACAGATTTCTTTCGTGATCTGTCTTCAACGTTGGATCATGTGTCACGGCGGCATCGGACAACACCTCGGTTTGATGTTGAACTGCTGACGGACTCGTCTCATCGTCTGCGTTCACTTTACATACGGGACTTGAATTCAATGTTTTGAAATTGATCTCAAATGCCACTGGTCTCCGAATTGGTAACGAAGCAGGTGCTGTTATCTTAGTTTCCATAGACGTTTGTTCACAGAATATGCCATCATCCTCTGCAGGAACGTTTTCTGGCTCTGCATCTGCATGTTTTACTGGTGCCATATGAGTTCTTGCAACTTCTGTCTTTATGCTTCCATCCTCTATGCGTGAACCAGTTTCATCACATGTTGGCAGGTGAGTTAACGATTCTAGCTTCACATCACTCAGGGGATCCATAACGAACTTCAGCATATCGTCTATTATACCCACGCATGCATCCTTGACTACTGACGCAACGTCCATATCATCGTAAGCATCCTTAAAATGTGCATCCGGGAGATCCTGCCTTGCACTTTCCTCAATGCTGACCGTTAGTGTATTCTCGTCAGGTTTGGCAATGCCCTCAATAACCGAAGCTATTAACTCATTTAAAACCTCCCTCACAACGAGATCATCCTGACCAGGTGACTGTAGTATGATTTCTACATGACTATCATCGTATGATCTAGATACCACCTCCACAACCCTACTCTGTACTGCAGTTGCCTCATTTATCACTGGTGGCGTTCCAGGACATGCATGACCTTCCACATCAATACTCAATGAAGGATCTGCGTTGGATACAGTTTCAGTGGGCTGATGAGGCTCTTTAATCTCTTCACTGTCAGTTATATATACATTCGTGTGCGTTCTCATGCATACTTCACGTGATTTGGTGTCAGTGGGTGTTGTTGTGTTGCTGAGGGCACTTTCCATGATGCTGTCTAGGACTGCTAACATGTCACAGTAGGCATCGTTGTTATCCTCGTGTGAGACCGGTACATCTACTTCTGCTTTTAATGTGGCTAGCACAAGGTTGTCGAGCTTGTCAGTCCCCTCAACAACGGAGGCTATTAACCCGCTCAAAACCTCTCTTACAATGGCATCGTCCTCATCAGGTAGTTGCAGTTTCATTTCCATACTACTCTCATCATAAGATACACAGGCCACTTCCAGTTCTCCACTTTGTATTGTAATTGGTTCATTCAGCACTGGTGGCTTTTCAAGATGTGCATGCTCTTCCATGTCAGCTCTAACTGAAGCAGCTGCATCGGGCTGTTGACACACATCCTCTTCGTTTACGTCTGTACTATCAGCTATATGTCTGCTTGTTTGTGCATTCCCATCTTCTTCAAGTGATCTGGCGTGAGTGGGTGTTGTTGTGTTGCTGAGTGCACTTTCTATAATGCTGTCCATGATTGCTAGAATGTCAGAGTAGGCATCGTCAGTAACCGAGATCGTTACACCTACGTGTGCCTCCAATGCGACAGGTGCATAACTCTTGTCAACAGTTATGCAACTTTCAAAATTGTTGAGCAGCAACTCCTCCTCTTGAGTTTTATCATGACCGTTCTGACGGTCATCAGTAGGGGTGAATACTAGCCCACTTTCTACTGCTTCACATGGACTATCCTCAGCTGTACGTGCCGGACTCTCTAGTTCAGCGATACTCAAGACACGAGGACGTTCCTGATCATTGGAGGAAAACATGATAAACTCATCACCTCTATCCATAGCTTCTTCGATGGTATTCACCTCTACAGCTTCCACGGGAACAGCATCATCTGGAGTTGGTGTGCGTTGACCAGAGTCAGATGTGTTTTCGATATCTGACGGCACCGCATCCTCAGCATGCATTGCATTTCCATCTAACATGATGGCTACGTAGTCACTGCCATCTACAGTAGATGCATCAGAGTCATTAGCAGATTCATCTAGTTGCTCATAACTCGCTCGCCTGAGGGCATATTCTTTCTCTACAACTTCCTGCGCATGCTCAGCAGGAACGTACATGCTAATGGGCTTCGGTGCCATTTTTACTTCCGGCTCCACATCACTGTAATCACTAGTGGTGTAATCACTGAGGCCTTCATCAACCGCAAGAGGGGCAAAGTAAGCCCTCTCAACATAGATCGGTGCCTTAATGACTGTTTCCTCGTCACTGCTAGCATCAACAAAGCCTATTTCGTCCTCACTGCCTTCTGCTGTGGGTGTCTTGATTGCAATAATGTCTCCAAGCTCCTGTGAAGCAGCTCGTGTCAGTCGGGAGCGGCGGTCATGTGGAAACTGTTGCATGACTTTTATTGCGTCAAAGTGGCTGATTCTAAGAACCTCTCTTTTTCTTTCAACAAGGTACGACTCGTCGTCTCGGTGGGGTATCTCAAATACAACCGTCCTTCCAAATGAAACTCCTCGTTTTGTCGTTCTATCTGTGTGAGGGCTATATTCTGAATCTGACATGTCTTTTTCTTCGGAATCTGAAGTGCTGCCACATGACGCATTGAAAAATGATATTGGTGATTCAGACAGAAGTGACAGTCTTTCCGATTCAACAGCATTTTCATCTCGTTTGTCCCAATCGATTGTTTCAATTTCGTCATTCGGATCACCTTCGTTTCCATGAGGATGAGTAGTGTCTACAACATCTGGCGGTAGTTGCTGTACATCTGGTTCGTGTATGTCTGGTGAAGCTCTGCTCCAGTTTACGAGTTTATCGAGGACTTTCGTAAATCCGGACTTTGCCTTTGGAGGGGCCTGCTGTTCAACTGGAGGCTCAGATCTGATTACTGATACTTCCACGGTTTTAGATTTTGCTCTAAACACTCTAGGCTCATGTTCATACTCTGTTATTGAAAATTCAGAATCTGAGGAGCTTTCCGCTACACCAACATAATCATCTTGAGGATCCATGATATGGTATTCCACATTTCCTTCAGGGTGGTAGTCTATTACAGGTGTGGCACTGTCAATAGATGATACTGCTACAATGCCTGGCTCCTCGACAAGGGTATCCGTTGATTGCCAGGCTTCAATGAAATGCTCGTCAATAAGTGTCTCTGATGATGACGCTATGTCAGTGTACGGCATTTTATCTCTATCATCAGTGATGCTTTCAGTAGAATCTGTAAATGGTTTCTTGCGCTTTACATTTTCTCGTTTTTTCTTGAATGATTTATGGGCTGACATCTCGTCATATGAGCGTTTAAAGAAGGCGACGTGGTATTCCTCTGTGTGTGTTTTCATTTCATAACTGACACTTGCCGTCTCCTCGTCATGTTTCACCAACATTTGTGCTTGTACATGTCTCTCTTCATGTGCTCCCGGGAGGACTGCACGTTTTTCTACATGCGCTGAAGCTGCTAAACGGTCCACAGAATGAGGTGTCTGTGTATTACTAAGGGATATATCTACAACAGCCGGATCCCTTGTTGAGAGCGTTGTTTCCGTAGCGTGGAAAAATTCATCTTTGGGTAACACTGCAAAAAGTGTTATTTCGGTATTCGACTGAGATAAGCTTGTATTCTCCAATGTCCGGGAATCAGAGTCACAAACCGTTGTTGGGTCACGAGCCTCTTCTTTCCCCACTGTAGTTTGTAATGTGGTGCTTTCACCTGCCAGCTTACCATCGAGGTTATCAACTCCTGTTAGCTCTTGTTCAGTGGGAGAAAGTTCTACTGCAACAGACTGTACGACACCTAATGTATATTGAGTGTGTGAGTGAACTGAACTATACGTGTCCACAGTTGGGCAGAATCCTGTGAGATCATTTCCTGCCAGAATCTTTAGCTCTTCTGTTTGAATGTCAGACAATATGTCAGCAATTTCGACATTACTGGTAGACGTTTCCTTCATACTGCCTGAAGAGTCCGACTCGTGATCTGGTTCTGTGCATGATGATTTCTCGAGAGGGTCGGGCAACGTGGTAATGTTATCACTTACGTGATTTACCTCACTCTCAGTCTTTTCTACTGTTTCTGTTTCCAACTCGAAACTCAAATTCAACAGGTTTTCCCTAGAATGCCCTGTCAAGTGTCTTGGTTCATCTTCGTAAGAAACAAGGCTCATCTGACTGAGCTCATCCCAAGCTGGACTCTTAGTTTCGCTAGTCACGCTACTGGTATCCCCACACTCTTGATCATCATCAATAATAATCGCATACGCGTGACCTTCTATAGGGACCGGTGTCTCATCGCGGAAAAATGGTGGATCCTCTTCTGATTCCGATTGTGTCCTACGCCACGTGTCCTCCTCGCTCGTCGTATTGTCAACAAACACCTCAATCGTCTCACAAAGGTCCTTGATTTGTGTTTGAGCGAGGCTGTTCTCTTCAACTTGAACAGTAATGTCATCATGAGTACTACTGAGGTCTTCTTCCGATGACGTTCCAATACTGCTTTCATACACAGTCAGTGTTCTGGAAACAACCTCCTGTCTCACCTCATCGTCGACCTCAAACACAACATCATACTCAGATAAGTGTGGTAGCATGTATGATACCTCAGCGGTCGACGACTGAGATTCTGCCTCGCTATGCTCTGCACTGTCACCAAAATCTATCATCTTTTCCACGTCTACAGTGACATGCGTTAGTATCGTCAACTCTTGACTGCTACTAGAGGCATCGTCGGACACTTCTGCTTGTTCGTGTATTGTGTCCAATTTGTCACTGAAGCATTTGCCCATGCGTAATCCAGTTCTAATGTCGGAAATATCTGCTGCGAACTCCTCTTCCTGAATGCCAGCAGTAAGGATTTCTGTACGTTCAGAGGCTGGGATATCGTCTTCATACATTGGTTGATATTCATCATCATCGTCATCAAGCAAAGGTGGTGGGTATGGTGGGCAGCATGTGCCACTGCCAGCGGGCATGTCAGTACTGAACTCTTCTTCCACCACTATCCGATTGTACAACTGGTCAAACGCATCTCCATCCATTGTGAGCAGTAATGATTCCAGGGTGTGATTTGCAACTAGTTGCTCTGAAATCATATGAACCGTCGTGCCTTGCACCTGGTCTTGTAGTCTCTCTTTAGCCTCTATAGGCATATCGTCAGAGTCATCCGAAGCAGCATCATTTAGTTGATCATCGCGTGCATTTGTACCACTTCCCAACGAGGCCTGAACAGTTATCTCCGATTGCTTCTCCACTACAACTGTTTCTTGAATCGGGGCTATTCCGTTGTCTGGTAATGTATGATTTCCATCGTTAACGTCATCACGGCTCTCCACATGCTCATGTATATCTGCGTCAGGTGTGCTATCTGTTTTATCTTTATCCGTATGTAAAGCTTGATCATCCTGAAGCACGCATACATCCGAAGGTAATACGGTTGTATCAGCTTCCTTTTTCTTTTCTTCCGAATGCTTTAGTAGTCTTGCGAAAAGACTGGATTGTGAACACTTGTCTCCTGTAGATACAAATGACTCAACAGCTTTTGAAATTACATCCTCTATCGAATACTGATATATTTCAGGTTCCATGAAACTTTCCAGCTCAGTTACTGAAGGCTGTGTGGTAGTGCTCAACAGTGTGTCTACTGTACTAGAATCTGGTTGTAGCGCTATTTCGTCTTCTGGGGTCTCTGTGGGTGACTCAGGGACAATGGCCACTTCAAGCGCCTGCGATGACAACTCTTTGATCCCAATAACGACAAACGCAGTTTCTCCAATCGACTCACGTTCATCTGATGCGGCAAGAAAACTTCCTGCAGAAACTTCAGCTTGGCAGATTTGCTGCGAACTGGCTATCAACTCATCTTGAACAACAGTTACGTCTGACTCAGCATCCTTTGATTCGGTGTTCATGCACGTCTTCCCTTCGTTGTGTGGTAACAGTAGATCACTGCTACATTCCGCAATCTGGTCAGGCATTCTCGTCTCAATGCTCGTACTATCTACTTGATTTACTGCAGTCGGGTTTGGTGTACGTGGTTCCACCTCAACTTCAGAGTCTAAGAGTTCAGCGTTCAGTTCGACCGGAAATATTGTTTCTATGAGATTAGTTTGAGAAATGACAGTAACTATACGGCTGAGGTTTTTCACTTTACTTTCATCTAGTGTTTCCAATTTGTTTTCATCTCTGGGAATATCATGGACTCCAGTGTCTACACTTTCATTTCCCTTAGGATGTATTTCATCTGTCTGTTGCATTTTCATCACAATGTCTGTTGACTCACGCAGCAGTATGTCAGTTTCTCTGTTTTCATACTCCACGGTTTCTTGCTGACGTGTTACGTGAAATGAATCAGCTATGCTAATGTATTCATGCACGATAGCACCGTTATCAGGCTTGAGAATTGCCAGATATTCTTCTACCTTCTCTTCTATGGGCGGATGTATGGGCTCTAACAGCGGTTTTGGTGTTCCACACACATCTACACATTTCACAGTTGGTTGCTGATCATAATCGTGATGTGATTCTACACTTAAGTTGTCTTCTTTGCTAGCATGCTCTGATGTCTCCACTGAACCGATATTGTCACCCAATGCCACATCCCATGCCTCATCCATCTCCCCGATAAGTAGGTATGGTGCTTCGACTGATTTTACGTTAGATTCAGAAGCTGAATCTAAGCTTTTCCCTGCTATGACTTGTAGATCAGAAGTCCTAGACTTTGGTGCACTGGTATCACTTCCAGATTTCAAACCTGTGCTCACAGAATCTTCAGTTTTTATACTCTTGAAATCCAGTTCTGCTTCAGGGGGATAACTTTGGACAGGTTTGGCATCAAATGTTGTTCTGGGTGTTTCACGTTCTATATCCAAATTGATATATGTTTGATTCTCACTCTCACTGATATCAGTTCCACATATCTTTTCTACGCTATAGGTTTCGGGGTCAGCATCCTTGAATGTAGCTTCCAAATGCCTGAGAGAGACATCATAGCTTTCGGATGCATGTTGAGGGATGGCAAGGCTTTCAAATGCCACTTCAGTCTCAGTGTGTAGATCAACCTGATCTGGTGAAGTGGCAGTAACACTTCTGACCGTATGTTCTGTATCTTGATCAGTGAACGAAGGAAGAAATATATCACATTCCCTTATCGTCAACGTATTTGCCATGTCGACCTCTTCTCGTACAGACGCTGAGCATTCTGCAGCCAGTGATGTAAACTCAGCCGTGTCGCACACTGTTGGCCTGTACTGCATATCGACAGCCTTTGTCTCTACAACTTCTACAGTGTCAACTACATTAGTCTCAGGTGTACCAAGGTCCCTTTGGTCTACTATATCGATATAGTTAGTAGTGTCAATGTTCAGCTCAACACTTTCTTCCACAAGGGATTGGTGCGTGTGTTGCATTTCAACTTCAGAGATATCCTTCTCCTCTTGAACATACTTCTCTTCATCTGATTTCATATCTGGTTGATCGCCAAATGCATCCGGCTTCATGTCTTCCTTAGGATTCAGTATTGCCTTTGCTGACTCCACGCTCGAGTCGGGTGTAGTTTTGTCAGGGGAATGTTGCTGGAGTTTTCCTGCTACGAGTTTGTCATCCTCACATGATTCGTCGGCTGTGTCATCTTCATCAGCTAGAAATATTGTTTCAATCCGCGTGAATTCCTGATACCCCCTTGCAGACAGCTCCACATCCTTGCTTAATGTTTCAACACTTTCTTCGTCATCAGCTGCAAATATTGTCTCAGCAACTGAGCGGTTCTGAAACCCTTTCACTGTTAGGTCAACGTTTGCATCTTCTGTTGCAATTTCTTCGTCAGGCAAAAGTAAAGAATCAGTCAGGTGCATCTCACATGTTTCCACACGAACATGTTTGTCAAGATCTCTTACATCTACATCAAACTGTTCGTTAACCCTTGCTGGAAAAATGTGCTGCGCATGCACATCTTCTACTTGCGAGTGCTTGTTTTCTGCTTTAGCTGTCGCAATACTTTTCACAGAAAGTGGTGGGTGCGTGGTTGCAGACACAGTTGCTGTTCTTTCCAATACTATTGAATCTGGGAACTCGATACTTGGTATACTAATATGAGTTTTGTGTAGCGAAATACGAGATAGCTCCGTAGGGTTCATCTCTGCTCTCTCGCTAGCAACGTTGACAACATTATCGTTTTCCAGGGTGATCTCATTCTGTTGTCGTTCTTGGTCATCTGAAACCTGTTGCGATACATAAGATGAATCCTGCAGCAAATCCTCAGCCATGCTATGAACTAGCATATGTTCTTGCTGTGCATCACCTAATACGGCAACTGCCGCATGATCCGCTGAGCCCTCTGTGTCAGGAATGCTATCTTCTGGTGGAATGCAAAGGTCAAGTCTTGAGGCTTCTGTGCTGTTCGTTAGTGTCAATTCACTTTTGTTTTCATTCTCGATCTGAGCTAAGAAAATCACATCTGGAAAATCTAACTCGGCAAGAGGCACTATTTCGCATTCTGTTGTCTTTGTCAGTTTCATCATGCCATTATTAGCCGCAGTAGTTTTAATTTCGGATAAACCCCTCTCATCATCGGTATCTGGGGTGATTTCCTCTAAAACTTCCAAGTGTGCTGTAGTTTCTTCACATACCTTTTTGACATTTGATGACTCTACGTCCGAGTCGGATGTTGTTTTGCCAAGTGAATGCTCATGGGGTTTTTCTGATATGAGCTTGTCCTCCTCACATGATTCGTCCGGTGTGTTATCGTCATCAGCTAGAAATATTGTTTCAGCTCGCATGAATTTTTGAAACCCCCTTGCAGACAGCTCCACATCCTTGCTTAATGTTTCAACACTGTCTTCGTCGTCAGCTGCAAATATTGTCTCGGCAACTGAGCGGTTCTGAAACCCTTTCACTGTTAGATCAACGTCTCTGTTTGCATCTTCTATTGTCATCTCATCGGGAGAATGTGCCGACGCAGTCAGGTATACGTCATGTGTTTCAGCCGGAACATATTTTTTGAGATATCCCACATCCACTTCAAATTCTTCACTTATCTTTATGGGAGAAATGCGCTTGAGTTTTAAATCGTCTACGCATGATTCATTAGCAACTGCTTCAGATCTTGGTATAGAACCGAACGTATCTGTACTCTCCAGTGTTACAGTTTCCGGAAATTCCATACGTGTCAGAACAATATTAGTCTTCTCTAATGATGGATGACACGAATGTATAGTCATAGCTGTTGGTCTTGCATCAGTTTCTTTTATAGTGCTCTCGCCTACAAGTATTTCACTTTGTTTCTGGTCCTCTTCAATGGAGACCTGATCTGCCACAGAAGTAGTTTGCTCAGGCTCTTCAACTACGCTAGGAATGGGCAAATTCTCTTCCATGCTATCACGAATGTTCAGTTCTGTACTCACTTCCACAAGCACTGGGTATATGATTTTGACTTCAAATTCGTATACATCAATCTCCTCTTTGATAGAGGTTTCTTCATCTGATTTCTCACTTGGTTGATCTTCTGATACAACCAGCTGCAGGCCCCCTTGGTTACTGAGTTCATCACACGACGAATCCGTTACTCTGTCTGATATCGTCTTGAAAACTTCCTGAAAGTTTTCCACAGTTAATTCAGCAGCCCTGATTGAGTCTGTACACATGTCTTCTTCACTAGCTGGAAATATTTTCTCTGCAACGGAAAATTCCTGAAACCCTTTTGCAGTTACCTCAGTATCCGTCACCGATTCCATGTTGTTTAAGTCATCATCGGCTGGAAAATTTTTCTCAACTGTTGAGCGACTTTGAGAGGGTTTTACACTTTGTTCAACATCCTTGCTTGATACTTCTTCTGTGGCTTCCTCAACGGCGAGAAATATTGTCTCAGCTACTGACACTTCTTGAAACCCATTCCCAGTTAGATGCACATCGCTGGTTAATTCATCTCCTTCTTCTTCTCGCACATCAGGAAATATTGCCTCAGCTACTGACACTTCTTGAAACCCATTCCCAGTTAGATGCACATCTCTGGTTAATTCGTCTCCTTCTTCTTCTCGCACATCAGGAAATATTGCCTCAGCTACTGACACTTCTTGAAACTCATTCCCAGTTAGATACACATCTCTGGTTAATTCGTCTCCTTCTTCTTTCCGCACATCAGGAAATATCGTCTCATCCCAGTTCATCTCAGACGTCTCCACATGATGTCTCGCGTCGACATCTGTTACGTTGAGGTCAAAGGATTCATTACTTACAATTGACAAAATGTGTTCTAATTGTACATCATCTACTTGGTCTTCCTTGCTTCTGCCCAACTCCTCAAGAGTGACAGCATCTGGGAATTTTACTTCAGGAATCTGTATGATCTGTCCGCTATCGCTCATGTGCGTGGATTCAGGTAACAGGGCGGAATTTACTTCCTCGAGTGTTACAGTCTGTGTAAATTCTATGAATGGAATAACAACGTCGTGCAATAAAGCATGATATGCGTCAATAGTTTCCATTTCGGTTTTCTCGTCGTGACAAGTCAGCATAGCACCCTCAACGGACATGTATATGGTTTCAGTTTTCAAATGTTCAGTTGGCTTCGTTTTAAGGCTACCTGCCACAGAATCATCACATGTTGAGGTGACGGCCAATGTAATGTCTTCTGATGCGCTTTCACATTTAAGATCTTCGTGTACTATGGCATCCTCACTGCCATCAGCTGTCAGTGTAACCATTTCTTCTTTTGAAAGTTCAGTGTCAATAGCAAAGATACGTTCCTCGTCCCTGCTTGGTTCAACCTCAATCTTATGTGATGCATAACCATTATCATATGTTGCCATTCTCTCATCACCATCTGTTTCATTATTCAATGCTGAATCCTTATTGTACTTTAATCCTCTAGGCACTGCGACATTCTCTGTTGGTTCGATTTCAAGCATGACAACGTTTGGAAACACTGAATCGTGCAGGGCGATCTCAGATGACTGCAGGGTGGACATTCTGATATCATGCGTGTCGTCTCTCAAGTTTTCTGGCTTAACATCATCGGTCATATGAACATCCACAGGTGACTCAACTGTCATCTCAGTCACACATGGAATTATGTGACTTTCATGCCTAACTTCGGGCACTTTTGAGAGTGCCAGCATTTTCTCTTCACAACTGTCTACCAAAGTTGTAATGAATTCTTGCCTTGTTACTTCAACCGACGTGCTTACTTTCTCTGTCATATTTGATGTGTCCACCGATCCAGTGGAAACTGGAAATTCACTTAAGTGAATCGATGTCGTAGGAACCAAGCTAGTTTCCTCTGTCACGTTTTCACGTGTTAACTCATCTAACAATACAATGTTTGGAAAATGTAATTCATCGAGAGAAGCTACTTGTTTATGATTCCATCTGGATAACTCTTCCTCTGTGACAGTAATGGTGTTCTCCTTAACCATGACACATTCAGCACTTGCCTCCCCTTCACCAGGGATGATAACATCTGCATGTGCCACCTGAGCTGGCCTTCCAACAACGGCCAGTACAGTCATCTCCACACATTCATCAACAGACAGAAATACCTCGTCTCTTTTGGAAGTGTTCACACTAATGTGAGGTATTCCATCGGTCGTGTCCATGTGAGCATGTTTCGTATGCGTCTCAGACAATTCTTCAATCGCATATAAAGGTACTTGGCATGTGTCCTCTGTGGGTGACCCTGAACTGGTAATAATGGTCTCGGACTCATTGCTTTCCACTGTTTTTGCGAATCCTGATATATCTGACTGCACTAATGAATACTGGTTCACATTCATGGTCCCTTTGGATTTCCTGGCTGGCGGTGTCTCAGGGAGTGAGATCGTAGAAGCCCTGCGCATATCTAACACTTCGATAAACTCCTCACCATCCGACTCTGAGTTTTCTACATTACACTCGAGATTTTCTTGAGAAGATGTTAGCAACTCGTCAGGAATTTCCATTAGTGCGTAATCGTTATCTTGTTGGACAGCACACTCTATGGGAGATTCAATGCCTCTGTGCGACACATCAGATTGTACCAAGGTGTGCTGAACAAAGTGGACACTCTGTTCCTCTAGCTTGACTGCACCAATATTCTCTGGCAGGGATAGTTTTGATGCTCGGCGAATATCCAAGATGTCAACCATCTCTCCATCAGAACTGTCTGAACTTCCATAGGTTTCGCCTATGCGCTCATCTCTACCTTCGTCTGTTTGGCGATTGGGTTTATCAATGATGATGATGTTATCGTCAGGATTCCATACGAGATCAGACAACCTGCTTTTGACAGGTTCCTTCCGGATAGAACTATCATCTGGTGAGCTAGTAGCTGCTGGGATCTTAACTTCTACATCAACAGATTCCTCTGGATACAGAGTTAGATGCTCCTCTGGGTAGCCCCGAAACTGTTCATCCCTTGATAACGCAAGCTGAAATATGGGTGGGTTTGTTTCGACACTTGTGGTAGTGACTACTGTCTCAACATAAGGTTTTGAATGAGTGGTTATTTCCTTATCGTACAATTGTTGAGAGCTGGAAGACTCAATCAATGGCCTGGGATCAATGGTGGACACTGGTCTATCATCTGTGAAGCTATTATCTTGAACTTCAGAGGGTGACATGGCTACAACTTCTTCGCATGAGTCACTTTCATGAAGGAATTCACAGCTCGATGACCTGGGATGTGACAATATGATTTCAGTATCATGCTGGGCCTGACCATCATTCACATCTAGCTGTTGGTCTTCTAAACTCACTTCGATTCCAGCGTCTTCACTCGTCGAGACATGCATTACTGTTGACCTGACATCATGCAACATGCAGTTTAGTTCAACTACCTCTTCAGTCATAACCAAGGGAGCTGACACAGTAGAAATATAACTATCGGGCATTTCCTTTACAGGGGAAACCACTGGCGTGTATTCGATTTGTTCTGACGATGTAACTTCTGATTCTAGATCCTCAATATGAGAGTCAAGTTCGTGGTCATCGCTCATGTATGTGGTGAGTTCAGTATCTGAGGAACTAGCAGTTCGCTGTCTGGAAGCATGCAGATTGTCTTCAATTTCCTCTTCACAAAACCATGCTGTTAAATAAGCAAACATGCATACACTAAAATCACACTGCAGGCTGCGTATAATTCATGCATTAACAACTAATTGCACGTCCATTTATTCCTTTAGATTGGTGAACATAATTATGTTTAAATTATACACAGATGCAGACGCACACACGCACGAACTCACGCTCGCACACCAACGCACACCCACGCACACCCACGCACACGTGCACCTGTGCACGCATGTACGAACACACTACACACAACGTTACTGAGATTACATCTGTGCAGAAACAACTGGTTAGTGCTATCCTTCCTAATAGCATTTACATTAAAGTTGCTCACATACATCATGCTATATATTTATAAAAACTCATAATATATATTGTATGCAGAATGAAGCCATGCAAGTCGCACTACAGTACTTACGTTTGATGGTCAAATAGGCTTTGGTCACAGCTTCACCCGCTGGGTTGATAGCCTTACAGATGTAATCCCCTTCATCTTCAGGGAAAGCCTCAGGCAATGTTAACTCATGTGTGGTTTCATCCGGATGGGATATCTGTGAGAGTTGAAAATAAATAAACAGTTATAACTGGACAGACAATATTCTGATACCATTTCATTTCTTTTGCGATACTTTTTTGTCATGTTAACAAGTTTTAAAAGCTATTTTGTCATTGATGTCAACTTTCATTGCTTTGTTTTGATTCATTATGTATTGCTTTGCCTCCATAGCTCCCTCTTGTGAGTAATACTCTCACTATGGTTCCAGATAACCCCTACCACTGGTACTATAACTAATTATATCACTGTCAGTACAGATATTACAAAGAAGTTTGAATTTACCTTGTACACAGTTGTATCTGGTGTGATTTCCACGTTATTCACAAACCATGTCACCTCTGGGGTTGGGTGGCCAATAACCTTGCAGGTCAATGTGATTGGCTTGCTTTCTGTGACCACTTGGTTAGTGAGTGGCTGTGTAAACTCTGGGGCTGCATCTGCTTCTTTATTGTATGAAAGAAAATTACGCACATGTTGTAGTGCCTGCTGCAGCCAGAGTAATTGTAGCTGTTTATACTGTCTGAATCAGTACTGTCTGTGGTGCTAGCCGGACTGAATGCTACTTTCACTGTCAATTAACCGGACAGAATGACAATCCCCAGTGTTTTTTCCTAAATCAGAACTTGATACAGCCTACTTCGAAACGCTTCTTAGGTTACAGTCTAACTGCAAAAGTAGCAAACAGCCAGCAAGACAACAGCTTTACGACTGTCCTGTACGTCATCTGTCGGTCACGCTCAAAAGTAGGTTGAATTGTCCTTACTGTAGCATTCATTGCCAACTTGTTTTCTTTAATTACCAGGCACAGGTGAAATTAAAATTGAAAATGTATTTTTTGTTTCGCCGTGGTGAAGTATATAGCAGACCGAGCTAAGTATGCATATCTGCACAATCTTAAGGCCCTGGTCAAGGAATATCCTAGGCAGTGCCTGTTCCCGTCACAACTTCTGCATAGCAAGCCTCCCGGCATCTTTTGGAAATTTGATTGCACTAACAAATCTGCCAAAAGACAGCCAAGCCAAATGCCATGCAGAATCGCCTAAGAGACAGTTACCCACACGTAGCTCAGCTTCTTTTTTTTGTATATTGATGAGTGGGTTTGAACTTGGAGACGTGTGGAACCAACCTGGATAAGGAAAGGTGGCAGGCATGCAACACTATTATCTCACACAAATCATGCACACTCACTCTTACGACTACTCTAGATCTAGCAGGTCTTAAATATAGCCGTCCTGGGACATGTTTTGCCTTAGAACTAGACGACAATACATCTATAAACCTACGAAAAACGGCGACCCTGTAAAAAGTAACTCTAATACCATGTCAATGTTGTTAGAATTGATCTATACGTAATCAATATTGTTAATATCACTGTCTCTAGTTCACCATCCAGATCAATCAACAGCACTAGCACTGGCACTATCACTCTCCAATATGTGTTATTCCATTCTCAGCATGAGGTTGTTTGCTGAGATTGTGAAATATACAGAGAAGAGATTTAAAAGTGGCTGAAATAAATACTAATATAACACACGAGCATAAGAAGCATTTCACGAGTTAATTATATGCAATAGGCATGCCATCAAGTGTTGAGCATAGGAATTTGCTCCAATTCTTGTTACTTGAACAGTATTAATGCTGGCAGAGAAGAAATGAAACCTATGGCTTCAGTTTGGAGATGGGGAGATTCTTCATGCATGCATGCAATATATCCCTCCTCTGAAAAACATGGAAAGAAATCCGTTAGCAAACAAGGAAAGTAAATGTACACGTCAAACATAAAATCGACTTACTTTATAGTATCACAAGTCAAACATATTAATATCACACACTTTAAACAGTGAACAGTAAAGGAAAATAATTATACTTCAGTGCTACAATGAACTCCTATGGTTATCAAAGAAATAATAAAACAACATGCATTCATCATAACAGGCATACCTTTTATATTAATAAATAAACATGTCAACATTCAAAGTGGTTAACAATCATCAGGACTACAAGATTTTACAATATATTGCTGATCAAACAGCAACTAAAACCTTGTATTAGATTGCATACCACTTTGGCTGTGCATGGACTTTTCTACTCCTGTTCAGGCTGTAACTCAGGTGAGCATGAACAATAACAAGTAAATACCAATCAAGAATCATTGTTTGATTCGAGACCAAATGCGGAGGGAATGGTCGATTGAAGGTGTACAACGGAGGCGACCGTGCCTAACTTATGTTGCAGCGAGAGTGTGTGCGCTGAATTTGTGAAAAACTGCTAACAGAAAGTCAAGTATACACTGAAATTTACTAAGAGCTTTATTTGTGACATTTAAGAAGCAATGGTATTTACAGGAAATTACTGCCATGTCTGTGTGGCTAGCTTACCTAACTATGACCATGATTGGCAATCCGCCATGCCCTTTTAATGTTAATTATTTTACTAAAATATTATGCATTTAATTGCACAAGTTATTTGGTAGCAGTACTTGAAGAGGGCACTGATGGGGTATGGAGTAAAGCATGAACCCACTGGGTATTTTCATGTTAAGGCAAAAAACAATCATGTTTAGACTAGGTTATGATTTTTTCCTAGGTTTATGCATGCTTCTCTTTTAGAAAAAATGTGATTATTTTATAAATAGAGTGAATATACCAAATAATTTACCATGAGTTTCATTTTGCCTTAATTTTATGCGGGATCACAAGCCCCTTATTTTGGCTTACACTAGTAATTTAATCAACAATTTTTAGTAAGAAATGGAAACATTTATTAGCAACTGAAAAAAGAGTACAAATGTTTACCATTAACCAAGATTTGGAGTACCCCATCAGGACCCTACCTGAATTGAAAAACGTGTTACTTGCAATTTGTATTTACTGCGTTACAGTGCAACAAAGGAATAAACAGGGACTTCAATGGCGCTACCTACCACATTCTAAGGACACGAGGGAGTGCCAAAAGTCACAGGTTCGTTCAACTACAACGGCTGCATACGATAAACGAACAAGCCTTACTGATCTGCCCACCTGCAGTTACATCCCTGATACAGCTAAATCCGAAAGTAAAACACCGAACAAAGACACTTACCATACCTTCTCGAGACCGATTAAAAAATGGCATTTCACAAACATATTTAAGACTGGTGCGCATTTAACTCTCAGGATATCATAAAAATGCAGTTGTGTAGGCGCAAGACTGAGATGAAATGGTACGGTACTGCACTGCAATGGCCAGATTGGTAAAGTTTTAATGTTTCAGTCCACAACCAGATCCCCATATACTGCAGTAGAACATCTAATTAAGCAAAACTTCACCAATCTAGAGGGTTTAATTGCACGTGGTGCATGTACGATACCAGTGTCCATCACGACCAATCACATGCCATACTGCTCTTCACACTGAATTTAACACCGGGGAAAAAAAAAAATTCATGTTGAAAACGTCTCAAGAAAATACAGATAACGTTTAAACTTAACACCGGTTAATCTATGAAATAAAAGCAACATGCCACTCTATCAAAAATATGCAATGCTTCAGGAATAAATTACAAATGGCTGTCTCACAAAGTTCCATCGACCATGCTGGCTGCATAAGTGCAACTCACTGGTAATCTCTTGATGTTTTATCCCAATAAAACACAATGAATGAACACCCGTACATTAGCACCCATAGTAAAAACTTCATGATTGCAATGCTGAGGATGACAGCAATTAAAACTAAATCGGAATCTTTTGCTTTAGTTATTCCTAGTTCATCGAGATCCCCCCAAAGAGTGGGGAGTGATAGGTCCTTGCTGCCAGAGGTGTCACCACCCTGGTTATCTTGAACAGGTTCCATGAGCTGCAGTTGCGCAAGAACCTCAGCAGAAGAGGAGAGTTTTTCAGGTTGACTCTCCATATCACTCTCTATGGGTATAGAATGAGCCTAGTGAAAACCCTGATAAATCGCATTTCCCACCATGTTTTCATACATTACTCGTACCCACCCCCACTAATGTCTTTCGCTGTGCTAGAGTGGTTCAATAGATGAACAGCAGTGTGTAATAACTAATAACTAATGTTGCTGAAAACCGATATCTTCTATTTCCTTCAGATGCTGCAGGCCCAGAGACCATAAGACCTACTATAAGGATATTATATCCTAGGTTTGTCATTTTCTCTCATTTGTACACAACTGCTAAAATTTGGAAGTTGCATAAATAGAGGCCAGAATCTTCCCGAAGGCTAGGTTTAGAGTTACTTCTTAAAATAACTATTGTGTTCTCACCTGTGTATACAATGAAATAGATGACCTTTAACCTCATATCGTGATTTATAAAATATTTAAAATGACCTCCAAATACTATCAGACTGAGAAGTAAATTCATTCACTAGTTTGAAATAAACCATGAAAAATAGCGACTTACAGGCTGTGTAAACAAATAACAGATAATGACAACAAGCCACACTAATAATAGCGCAGTAATATTCTAAACAGGGGCGTTAGTTAAAAAGGTGGGAAGATCAGACAAGTAAAAAAAAAACGGTAAGCATCTGAACATTACTGACAAAATCTCTGACAATAATATAAGAATAAAATGTAATGTAAGTACTGTTTGTACATTCTAAATGCAGAAAATTAATATAAAAGCAAGAGTAGTAAATCATCTACAATACTAATAACTACCTGTGGCGACAGACAGTACTGTGACTATCCTAAACATTTTCTAACGATTAAAATTGAAAAGGCAGCAGTACCGAGCAGTACAACTAAAAATTAGTGCAATAAAGTTGCTTAGATGTATAGAGGAAGAGCAAGGACGCATCCTTTGGTAGTGACATCAAAGTTAGTAATCGTTAATTTGGTTTTGGTTTCTCTCGCCAACTGATGAGAAGTTCAAGTTCAATGTCAAGGTGTTCCTCTAGTACAACTTTCTCAACAGCGCCTGAAGTGCACTCTGGTGGCACAAGTGACAGAAAGAAAATAGTGATGGTGAGAGAAAGAAAAATCCTACTGCAGACAATATAAATTAATGATACATTTTGTTATCTTCAAGATACAACACCAAAACTATTACATGTAAACTGAAGCAGAGAATTGAATATAAAAAGATGAAATAATTTCAGGAAAATGTAGCATATATATTGATAGATGATTTTCTTACCCGTTGCAATATAAAAAACATAAAGGTAGTTGACAAACACAAGGACAGCATAACACACACAGAACACAGGCGTGCACACACTCACACACACACGCACACACATACATATACACAGCGAACCCTCGGTATAATGGACCTTCATTAAACGGATTTTGAAAGTAACAGACCAAGTATGAACGTAAGAGTACAGTACGGTACTACGTACCAAGCGCAGGCGGAAATAGTCACATACGTTAGTGTTAGCACAGTAGCTTGCATACGCCAGCAATAAACGCACAAATACGTCGTGAACGGACCGGCAATGGGGTCTTCCTGAAAAACGAAACACGGTGGAACTCATACTTACTTTCGACGAACAGCTCGGCTACCGTGGTGGCCTCGCCGAGCGGGTTCATGGCCTTGCACAAGTACTCCGCGTCGTCGTCCACGTGCACGCCCTCGACGGTCAGCGTGCAGACGCCGTCGTCCGTCCGCGACGGCCTGAACCTCTCCTGGTCAGTAATCTCACTGCCGTCCTGATACCAGACGACCTCCGGCGAAGGCACGCCCTTGACGAGGCACTCGAAGGTCACGGTTTCGCCCTCGTGTGCATCGATGTTCTTCAGCTTGCGGATGAACGCCGGCGCCATGTCCTTCTGCACGACCTGCTCCGTGACCTCGACCTCGTCCTTCTCGACGACGGCCACCTTATGTTCTTCCTCCTCGTCTGTCGGCTCGGCCGGCACGACCTCCGGCGCCTCCTGCACGACCTCTGTCACCTCCTCGGGTTCCTCGGGCTTCTGCAAGGTCAGGAGGGTCGTCGTTTCCTCCGTGACGTCCTCTGGTTCGGGTGCCTCTTCGGGCTTCAGCATCTGAACGATGAGCTCCTCCGTTTCCGGCTCTTCTTCCGGCTTCCTCTCGAGCACGGCTTCCGTCACCGTCTCCACCGGCGCTTCTGAAACGTGATACGATTATTATAGTTTATTATAACCGTATTATGGTTATTATAAATAATCATAAACGAATTAGAGTTATTATAGTTTAATATAAACGTATTACACTTATTATAGTTAAATATAAATGTATTACAGTTATTATGATTAAATATAAATGTATTACAACTATTATAATTATATATATAAACGTATTACAATTATTATAATTAATTATAAACGTATTAGTTATTATAATTAATTGTAAACGTATTACAGTTATTATAATTATTATAAATGTATCAGTTATTATAATTAATTATAAACATATTACAATTATTATTATTATTAATTATAAATGTATAACAGTTATTATAATTAATTATAAACATATTAAGTTATTGATATTGTACCCAACAATGAAGGCGAGTAAATGCTAATGACTGTGATGCTAGTGTCTGCCAATTATTTCACAGTGAGAAGACCTTTGTCGGGTATTTATAATAAAAGAAATATAGAATATAATAAAATATAAAGTAGAAAACATGGTGCATTGCTAACAAGAGGAATTTACTCGTTTCACACACACCTTCTTTTGGTTTCTTCTTCTTCTTCTTCTTTTCTGGCTGAGGCTCCTCTGGTTTGGTGAGACCCAGCGAGACGGAGGTGACATGTTCTTCTTCTGGTGCCTCCTCTACAGGTTCGGCAGCTAGTTGAACAACTTCGAGCTCTGGCTCTGTATTACAGATAATGACACATTGTCTGTAAATACATACGCTTGATGCCACTCCAAACAAAAAAATCTGCTTCTTTCATAATTATCATCTCATTATTGCAAATATACCCTAATGAAAGTTTAGAAAATGATAAAATAACGTGGTTTTACAGATTTGGTAAAACTAGATTTCCAGACAGGAATGAATTATTTTCTGTTTGCAGGTATCTACTTGAGAGTACTGTTTTCACACATTAGACTGGCACTATCATAATGAAACATATGTACATCTTATTATTAAACATCATTACAATCACAATTAATAATTAATATTAATACTTTAATAGTATAATAATTCTAATGCACAGCAAAATATATGATCAAATAATACCTGGCTCTTCAGGTGCCTCCACTGGTTTCTCCTCAAGAGCTGTATCAAAAAATCAAGAGATGCTGGTATTACGAATGTTATCTCAATATGAATGTTATCTCAATATGAATGTTATCTCAATAAAAATAAGAACAGTATACACGTTCTTAGTTTTAAATTAAAATTATAGTTTACATTTGGACAGGACAGCAGTCTTGAAAATAATTTATAGCTAATTTCATTCTTAGACTCTCTGTTCACACTATTAATTCATATAATTAAAGGCAAGCTGGTTACAATATATTAATGGAATGGTTAAATAAACATGATTACAAATAATCAACAAGGCACAGTTCTAAAACAGTAACAGCTATGGTTAAAGCCGCAATATGCGCATCCAAACGCTAATTTCTCCAGTACTAAACTAGCAAATACTTCGTGTCATGCATAATCATACTACCTTATGACAAAATAAACTCTAGTTCCTCCCATTTCACATGCTAATTTCATGGCAAGATAGAATAGTAATAAAGAAATATACATAGATGCTAGTTACACGGATGTATTTATGTAAATACACTGTATAATAGTGTTTTACATAGAATGATACACAAAAGATGGTATGGAAGTGCTGTGAAATGACACACATAGATACAAAGATACACATAAACACAACACTACAAACATATGCCAATGGGACAATACTGATAAATAGAATAGGTAATTGTATGAAAATAAATGACGCAAATGTTGATGTGTCAAGTATGGACAAACTACAAGATCCTGCATGAGTCACAAATAGAATAACCCACATAGATTAGTATCCTACGTGAAACTCGTGTCGTAAAACACACTCATCGTCACGTACACCGCAACATTAAAATAAGAATAAATATAGAAAATGAGAAACATATATGTATAGACTTTGATACGTATAAATAGGCAGATTCATGGATGCATTTCTGATATTAAACTGCCTATGCAGCAAATCATAAGCTGCTAAATGCTACCAAATGTATATATATATATATATATTTATTTATATATATATATATTTTAATCCTACCATATGTAGACATAGACCGGGTGTAAAAACAAGCCGTTATGTAGTCAGATTCGTTAGGCAGACATATTTGCTGTCTACCTATAATGTTTAGCATGCTATAACTTCGTTTTCTTCATGAAATTTATAATTATGTCGTGTTTATCTAGTAGAGGTGTCCTCACTCTATTGACTTGTAACATTTTTAAATATGACAAAGCTTAAATGTGTTGTTAAGAACACATTTTTTTTAAGTGTCATATATACGTCCGTATGTAAAATCATCCGCATGTAAAATCAGTAAAGACAGTCAGTAGCCTTAAGTGCCTTAGGTAGACAGCCTTAAGTAGACATATATGTGTATATCTATCTTTGAATAGTTTTAACAAATATCTGTCTATACCCCCTAAAAGCACTAATATAGATGTACTATTTCCAGAAATTGCATTTGTGTTACTGTGCAGCACTGTTGATATATTAGCGTATGGAAAATGTCTACGTATGACACTAGTTTTCGATACTGTCCACCTATGGTTGGATTAAGTGTTATATATATATATATATATATATATAAATATATATATATATATATATACATATATATATACATACATACAATTACATACATACATACATACATATATACATATATGCATACATATATACATACATATAAGTTGGCATACATTTACTGCTTAGAGTAACAAACTTTTTTACCTGCTGCATAGGTTTCAAACCAGAAAGTCACATGTTATATAATACACATTTACAACACAGTGAAAAGACAGAGTGAAATAATTATCAGCATATAACCCCTCTGTGATTTGAAAGTTGCAAGCATTAGGCCTATGCACTGTTACAACAGAGCTGACACACAGTGACCCAGTGCATTGCTGTGCACCATGCTGCCACAGGTTAGACACCTATACGCATTTTCACGTGATGCGAATTCGTCTATACCTTCTACTATAAGACTAGCAGTGGTTTCAGCAACACCAGCTTCATTCACTGCCATGCATGTGTACTCTCCCTCGTCGTCAGCGTAGACTTTTAAGATCACCAGTCTTGCAATGTTATTGCGGAACGACATTTGGAAATCCTGAGAGTTTGTCAATGTGATCCCGTCAACGGACCAGAAGACGTTCGGCAGTGGGTGGCCGAAAATTTCGCACTGAAATACCGCAGGTTCGTCGTCGAAAACTACTAGTGATTCAAGTCCATTAACAATTTCTAGGTAAATTTCCTTGTCGCCTGCCATTGTAGCTGCAATGTCTTCTGGCAGGAGCTCTAAGATTGCTACATCATCGTCTGAAACACTGATATGAACATCAGAGAACTCTGAACTTTTTTCTTCACTTTCACTTCTTGGCACTTTGGTTTGAGCATCCACATCATGATATATTACTACTCCATCATCAACAGAAACCTCCATTTTTAATTTCTCATCTTTAGAGGACATGGGTGGTTGTATTATTACATAATCCTCCCCTTCTTCTTCACTAACTTCTTCTTCATCGTCATCATCACCTATTTTCCTATTATCGTCCGTACTGGGGGCATTGCCAGGAGCCAAGTCAATCATCTCTGAGTCTACATCAACAATGACAAATTCCTCTTCTTCTGCATCAGCTTTAACATTGTCCGCGCTTTCAACATTCTCAGCGTTGAAAACATTGATGTCAGATACCTCGTCAGGTTTCCCTATTACTTCTGACGTTTCTACAACAACACGGCTTTCATCTGCCGTTAGTTCGGCTACTTGCTGATCGGTTGGTAGCACTCTCTCCTCTACAGCGTCAAGCACACTAAGCTTGCTAACTGCTTCCATCTCGCCCTCTGCCACCATCTCAGGAGCCTCAGTAATGGGCAACGTGAGTGAGAAACCTTCGCTGGTGTCATCGAGGACAGTAATCGTCGGTCTTTGGTCATGTCGAGGTCGGGTGAAGTCCTCTGCGAACTCCGTCACGTCACAGATCACTGTCTCAGTGGTTTCAGTAGGAACCAGGTCCTCTGCAATATTTTCTGAGCGAACATCGTACTCCTGAGTGGGCTGTAACATATTGGGCTGAATCGCTTCATGCTCTAAATTAAACGTAAATTCCATTTTCTGCTCGGTCACATACTCAGGGGCCTCAGTAACAGTTGGCACTCTATCTGCTTGAGAAAATAACACATTTTCCTTTGCTTCATGAGCCACGTTTTCCTCAAGTAGGAACCCTTCTGGAATCTCTGCTGTTGTTTCATCAATCACGACTGTTTCAGGTGCAGATGTTGGTATTGAATCAGAAGCTGCTTCTTCGTGAACTAGCGGTTGGATCTTTTCATCAGCCCTTTCACTCATTGGCCTGTCTTGGCTCTCTATATGTCCCACCCCATTATATGCCACAGTCAATTCAGATTCTTCAGTTGGTTCTATTACAGGTACGAGAGATGGAGTTTGATGAAAGACACCAAGTTCGATTACATTTAATGGTTCTCCTCTCGCATCTTCCGTTACCGATGTGTCAATGATCATTTCTACATTGCCTTCACTTGACTCATCAGGGACAAGCGCCTTATCTGCGACAATTTCGGCAACATCAGAAACTGTTTGTCCATAAGCACCTACTTCATACGCGACCTCTTGCTGACCTGATAGCGTTTCACCATCCTCAGGTATATCCCGTGGCAGTGGTAAGTCTGAAGTAATTTCCACTTCTGCAGTGGTTGTACCTTCTGGCGTAACTACTGACACTGGCTTAAGCACAAGCTTTTCAGTAACACTATGTTGTTCATCGACTAAGTCTGCTGGCGTTTCTAGTTTTATCTTCAATGTTGTTTCAGAATCTTCTGAAGAAACAACTTCTGGTGAAACCGATACAGTATGTCCAAAAATAGATTGTTCAACCACTGGGAGCAGCTCTGCTCCGATAATGCTTGAACTTTCAAGTTTCGACTGGTCCGATTCAAGTTCTAACGTAACGGCTGATATCGAGCTATCAAGTTCTAAGACATCCTCTGTCTGGTTTGACAACTGTAATTCGGTCAGGTCGACAATTACAAAATCTTCGGGTTCCGTTGTTGGATTTGACACTGAAAAATCGCTCTCACTAGTCTCTGCGATTGGTAACAATATGTAGCTTTCAAATGCTTTCTCTTGAGGTAATATGCTAGTGAGTTGGTCAGGCCACTCGCTTTCAATATCCTCAAGTGATAGACCTGGTTTTAATGACATCTCCTCGTCAGCAATTACTTGTTCTTCATCAAGCACGACAGGCTCTTGGATCTGAGATGCGTCAGCGTGCGCTGGTCTACGCTGCACCTCGTCAACATGTGTTGGATGTTTAAGACACTCATCAGGTGCGCGTAAATCCAACCTGACCTCACTGATGTTGTCTTGGAGTGAATCCGTTTCTTCTTCTGCTGTTACTGACTCAGGAATTCTCACCATCGTAGGCATGGGTAACTGTGATGGTTGGTCCAATAACACATTTTCTGCGTTATCTGTTTCCATGCCCACTGCTTCACTTTGTCTCAATACATCTGATTTTGTTGGCTCTGCAAAGTTATATTCTTGATTATTCTTCTCTTGCATTACAAATGCTACACTCGATGATTCTTTCATGGGTGATTTAGCTAAATAGCAGATGAAAAATGAATCAGGAATGAATCAAAGCACACACAAATAACAATTACAAACATCAACAACACAACTGGAACTGGGAATACATGATTGCTGCATAATGAGTAGTATGTTTTCGAGAAAAACTCTAGGGGGATATAAACAAAGAAAAACATATATATATATATACGTATATAACTTTTTATGGAGCTAGTTAAATGCATAGCATCATCCGAGTTATAGCACAGCAAAGTCACCCGTTTGTTTCAAACACTAGTCTATTAGTAGCAAACCACTCCTTTATAAATGCTACATCTAGTGATTCTAATCGCTAGCAAAGTCTAACTTCACTCCAAAACCATAGATGAATTCAATCGATAACTACGCGTAACACCAATGTCATCTAAGAAAACCTCTATCTACGAAAATTGTGTGGAAAGTAAGCGAGGGGATCACCGCCAGAGAATGTGCGGTGTCCACGCGGCGGCGCTTACGACACTTACGCTTCACGGTCAGGTACGCGGTGCTCATGTGCTGTCCGACGGCATTCAGCGCGATGCACGTGTACTCTCCCTCGTCGTCGAGGTATGCGCGCGTGATCGTCAGCCGCGCAATGCCGTCCTCGAACGTCGGCGCAAAGTCCTTCGACGGCTTGATCTCCTTGCCGCGCACGTACCAGACGACGGTCGGCGTTGGCTCTCCCTCGACGCGACACTCGAATGCTACCGGCTCGCCCTCGGTCACTTCGACCGGCTGCAGCTCGCTGACAAACACCGGCGCTGTCGTCTTTGTGGGTTCCTCGTCTAGCGGAAAGTCTTCTACGACCTCGTCGACTATCTCGGGAACTCCTTGCATCTCCTCCTGCGTTAAGTAATGTTTATGTGCTTAAGTGAAGGCTATTAGTGAACGCTGATCGATAACCGATCAGCTTGTTCAAGCGAGATAAATCAGTGAACGTCGATCGAAAATCGATTGATTTGTCGGAGCAAGATAAATCAGTGAACGCCGATCGATAATCGATCGATTTGTCTGAGCGAGATAAATCAGTGAACGCCGATCAATAATCGATCGATTTGTCTTAGCGAGATAAATCAGTGAACGTCATTCAATAATCAAGCAATTCATCCGAGCCAGATGAATCAGTGAACCAAAATCGATAATCAATCAATGTGTCTGATCGAGGTAAAGCAGTGAACCCAGATCGATAATCGAGCAATTCATCCGAGCGAGATAAAGCAGTGAGAGCTGATCGATAATCAGCAATTAATCTGAGCAAGATAATCGTACCCCTTGAATATTGTTACTACGTCAAGCCACGCTGGATCAGTTTATAATGTTTTTCACGTGTGCATGCCAAATTACGGACACATTACGTGAAGCATTTCATAACTAAGCAATACTTTTAAAATGAACCTATCACAAACGCGATTGGGAAGAACTACCTGTCAATCAATATGGGCAAATAGGTAAACCGCTTACAAAACAACCAGTTTCATGACTGCCAAGCAGTTTAATTGTGTGTCAACTGTGCTAATTTCCAAATAGCTGCGATTGACGACAACCTTGATACTAAGCCTCACATCATTACATTGTATGGTGTAATAACGGGGTCATGTAATAATCATTCAAAGATATTCTACATCTCCAAACCAACCTTCTCATCGATCTCGGACAGCTCAGCGAAGGTTCCCTCCTCGTCTTTAGACATTTGTGGTTGCAGCGACATAGACATTGATGCCTCCTCCGTGTCGGGGACATAGGACAGCACTGCATGACAGCGAGCACGAGGGATATAGTTGTGGTACGAGATGCACAGATTATTTTGAACTAGAGTGCTATCTTACATTCAACAATACTAAGCTGTAAATAAAAGTGTCAATGACACTGTAGCTCCCCTTGGGTGTGATAGAAGAGGGAGGGGGATATATAAAGCAAGGGTATATATGGGAGAACTCCCATTATATAGCATATCTCCCATTATATACTCTTGATAATGATATAGGCCCTATGCATAAGTTTTGATGTGAAAATTAATGTTTCAGATCTGAAAGTCTGAAATCTTGACGAGAGATGGCGCTACGCCTAAATGATCGCCATTTTGGTTTTCGAATATCGCGCAAATAAAAACAATAAAATATTCCAGTCAAATTACTGTAAAGAAGAATCTAAAACACAATATTACACGTATATAGCTATGATTGTAGAATTGTTAACCAGTTAGACGAAATAAACGTAATAGGACGTTGTCATCTATCCCATAGGAGTAACAACTGTTTTGGGGCTAGCCTTACCCATTCACATACTGAAATTTAACAAAATCGAATTAATTTAGATGGCCATTTTCATTTTTGTCAAAAAGTGGGCGTCGCTCGAAAGTAGGTCGACTGGCGTGCTCCAAAATAGAAAGTTCAAATCTCTCCCATAAGAGTAACAACTGCA